ACCTCACACACACACACACACACACACTCACACACACACACACACACACACTCAGTCACATACGCAGCCTATTACAAAAAAACACAAAGAGTTAAAGTGCCATTTTCTCCATAAAAGTCAGTGAAGGAGATGTGTGCAGTAGCCACTTAAGCCTCTCAGCCATCGGGCTAAACACGAACACATGTGGTGGCACTGCTGATTGGCCAAGCCGCTCCCCTTCCATGGTAGCTTGGAGCTATAATGAAAGAGATTTCAGAGGGGCTCAGGCCTGGGATCCCTAAACAGCCTTTAATGGATTCCTGTGTCAGGGCAGTAAATCTGGGGCCGGGCCGACATGCCAGCCAGCCAGAGCGGGCCAGCAGAGCGGAGATGCACCTGTGAGACACTTGGGGAGGGTCGGCTCTGGACACAAATGCTTGCACACAAACACTAGGAGCATATGCGGCGCGCGTTCACGGCACATGCGGTTATTTAGACTGTTCATTTGTGCAGCGGGGCTGTGTTTAGGAAGGCAGGGCCTCTCTCTGCGTCTAGGTGTTTATTAAAGCAAGGTGAACCCAAACACAACCAGACACAGGTCATGAAGCCTGGCCCTCTGATCTCGGTTACAGCTTTGGTGCCGTCTACTCAAAAGGAAGTTCCACAGGGAGCAGTAAATGGATGGTACCTCACTTCACGGCTTTATCAATTTGTCATTCCCTCTCTTCACTGTGACCCTTTAGCGCAACAGTTAAGATTAAACTATTTACAACAACCAAGCATTTTACGACAGAAGCGCCAAATTTGGCGCAGGAGTCGGGTTTGTGGCACTTTTTAGAAACAGCCGACATGTTGCATTCATTTCAGTGGTAATCTGAGACACAAAGAGCACCTTCACCAGTTACTTTTTTTATCATCATATTACTGCTTCTCCAGAGCTGTCAAAACCAACGACAGCAGTTAAATCTGAGATCTAAAATTAGTCGCACTGTATGTCAATGTAAACAACAACAACAACAACAACACAAACACAGAGACGTTCACAATGAGGTATTCTCAACCAGTGCAAACAGGTCTGCTGTTAAAGCTGTGACAGCTCTGTCACCGTCCTGGATCTCCCCAGGCCTGACAGGACAGTGGAAAGCATGAAATAGGAGAACAACAGATTATCATACTGCTCCTTCATTAGCTTCTCGCTGTCGGCTAATGGGAAGCTGAAAGGTGAAAATGAAAAAGTGATTCTCGCTCCATGCCTCCCCGCCTCTCATTTTCTCCCTCCATCACTCTGCTGTCAGTGACAGATGTCACCGTTTCTGTCTGTCTGGCTCTCCATTCGTTCCTCTCCACCTCGTCGCCACGGCGGAGGCTGAGCAGAGCGCAGACAGTGAGGCAGTCGGGAGGAAACAGGAGTCATGAAAATAATAAAAATGGTCACGTTATTTCAGTAAAACTAACTCGATCCAGGATTTCTGAAGATGTAGGGAAACATCTTGTGTTTATTATATACGGGAAAGTTTTACCGTCTCATGCAAAGTGAAGCGGGGAAAACACTTTCTGGTGGGTTGTTTTGTTTTCGTATTAGTTTGATTTGTGTCTTTGAGCAACTGGCTGAAGAAGAAAAAGAATCCGCCTCAATTTAGTTCAAGCTTTAGATGTAAAAACATCAACGAAAAGGGCAAATGACGGCAGAACATGACTAAGCTGTCCTCTCCTCAAACCCTTTACGCTCCACGTGATGAACAAAGGTGTGAAACAGACGCAAGAAAAACATCCTCCGATTCCATATTTTGTTTTTTTAAAATTTATTTAATTTCTGTGGTTATGAGGGGAAAATAGTCATCACCATCCACTTTAGTAGCTGCATTTGGAGAAACAAACTTTCCGCCCCTCTTGCCTTCCTTCCCTGCATGACCAGTTATGTGGAACAACTATGCCTCTCTGTGACTGGGCCAAACGCTCGTGGACTTTAATAGCTGGTCTTACATTATACATTTCATATGGTATTTCTGAGTGGGCTCTGATCTCACAGCTTGGCAGGAGACGTAAAGAGATGCCGGTAAAATGCAAACAAACCTTGGGGAGAAGCAAAGCCTTTGCAGAAGTACGGCCAAGTCTGTGTCTGCCTGTTTAAGAGCTGCTCACTCGAAAGGAGGGGGAAAGCGTTTGAGGAGAGATCTACTGCTCCTCCGTCCAACTGGCTGTTGCTGAAAGCCCGCTTCCTTTCCGCTTAAAACAGGAGCCATATAAAAGGAGGAGAATGTGCATTATGCTCATTCTGTCAGAGCAAACCAAACTCATCCAGTAAAATCACCAGGTGTCTTTCTGTGAATGGGTGCAGTGCAGTACTGCCAAGCTGCCAGGAGATGGCACTTTGGTTTCAGCCAAGAGGCCGGTTGATCTCCGAAGAGGGGAGAAACTAAGCGGAGTGGAGACTACAAATGCATACAAATAACCATGAAAACACTCACGCAGCTATGGACAGAGCCATCGCATTTAAAGCAGCCTGTGATGCATGCTAACTACTCACCTAACAACATCCATCCACAATATTAATCCTGCTCTCAACACGATTAGCATTATGAGCTACTTTCTACTTAAAATCGCATCAAAAATATAATTGTGAGTTATGTCAAACTCACGCTCTGCACTCTGTAATTTACAGTTCATTAATATATAGTAAATACATATTAGCCTTTCACTCAGTATTGCTGTTGCACATTATCCACATTAAAGCATTTTCAATCACACGCCGACTATAACGCACCACTCACCATGTCTCTGTAATATATTATGAGCAATACTTCAAGTTAAGTGCCATCGCAATACAAACACATATTAGTAAAAGAAGGTTCAGAGAGAAGTGGGAGTGAGCAGCTCTGGATTCACCACCACACACACTAATGGGAATTTCTCGCCATATAATGCACTTCACAAGTTATGTCAACAGTGTACATATGTGTCCGCTGGCCATGAATCCATGAGCTGCCTCCTGCTGCAGCAGCAGCACACAGACACCCACCCAAAGAGCAGCCTTCACTTAGCTATCCATGTGACTTTGTTCCTGTTTCATATCTGTGTTGTCTCCCTGTTTCCCCTCAACCCTGAGCTGTTTTCCGGGCTGGCATCTCTCCTGCCTCACCAGGTGAAGAGTCCAGAGCCTGGGGCTGAGCCCGGCCACAAGCCTGCTGGCTGTCATTGTCCATAACACCGTCCCAACCTCTGCTCTCCTCTGTGCTCTTAACAGCTGTCATTCTGTTGCCTCCAACCTGAGGCAAACTGCTAAATGCATGCATGTTTGTGTGCACACCAACTACACACTCACACACACACACACACCTTTATGTATTGAAGGGCCGACACTTTCTTTTCTATTTTGCAGATGCTTACAGCACAATAACACCGAAAACACACACACACACACACCGAAATGCAAAATCTTAAACAGAATCTGGCGCTCACACACAAAACCATACAGGAGCCAGAACAATGGCTGTTTGTTGTATCAGACGAGGAGTCAGCAGTCCAATTCAGTCTTGTTTTTGTCAAACGAAAGGATTACTCCTACATTCTTAATCAACACGCTCACCAAACACTACAAATCACCCACATCGCCGGATACGGCTGAAATATGAATGCATATGACAGCAGCATCTCCACTTTGGTACATGTGTTGGCTGATCAAATAGAATGTGAATTTCATAACTCTGATTATTTTGCTATGATTAATTAAAGGAGCTTCTCCAGGATCATTCATTTCATTTCAAGGACAGACATAGAGATGTTTGCTTAAAAAAAAAAAAAAAAAGGATGAATGATAAAAATGCACCAGGCTTTTTTCCTTTCATACAGGAGCGGGGAATGTCTCTAATCAAATCACATTCTGGGAGCGTCTGATGACAGCGTTTCTGAATTTACCCAACAGGTGCATGAGGCTCTGCTGGTCACTTGGTTAAAGGTATTGACATGCCGACAAATACCAAATACCGACATATTTCTGTCGCTGGAGATACAATTAAAAATCAGTGGCGCTGCAGCTCAACAAGACTGCACACATTCATTTTCTGTTGATGTGAGATGCTGATTCCACTTGTTGGTGAATAAAGTAAATTAATGACACCGAGTGCTTCACAAAATCAAACCTACAAAAATATTATCATATACTTACTAGATTTTTAGATTTACTTCACACACAACAAGCATCCTTCTTGAGCCAAAAGTTTCTTTTCTGCCAAAGTTAGTTGCCTTTTTTTTTTTTCAAATTTTATTCTGAGCTTCCAAAACACACTCAGCTACCAAACCGACGCAGCAAATTCCAGCTTCATGATAGTCGTAATGTTAATTTTCAAATGAAGCTATTTGAAAGTAGTCAAATCTGCTTTTTTGTGTTGAATTTTACTGCCGAACAATGAGAGGTGTTCCCAGTATTTACTGGAGCTAAGCTGATTTAATTGGTGTGCAACATCAGCTTGGGGAAAAGCAATCCTTCTTTTCTTATTTTAGGTGAATAATATTTCTAATATTAAAAAATTCAAGACTGTCATTGCAAGATTGAGGCAAGTTTTGTATTTGTGGACTGTATGGACAGAGACCAGATCCTGCAGGTTTTGTCCAGAGACATATTATTTAAAAATGATGAGTTAAGAATAAGCTCGGGCAGGCCGAGCAATAGGAGTCTGTGTGTGGGCACGGGCAGTAGGGGAGGCATGTGGATAAAGGTGCCTTTTGTATTTTTTTTTTTTCACTTTACTTAACCTTTACTTAACCGGTTAAGTCCCATTGAGATCAATTTCTCGTGCAAGGAACACCTGGTCAAGACAGTTGTGGGCAGAACAACAGTATCAACATTTCATAGGAAGCAGGCTCAAAAAAAAAAAAAAAAAGACACAAAGAGGAAAAAGAATAAAAACAACAGCCACGTTTTTCTCCAACAGAAATGTAAATACGCTGTGAGGTGAAGGTAAATATACTGCCAGCATACAGAGCAGCTACTCCACTAAACATCAGGAGGGAGGATTTATTTCATTATACACTCGCTAAATTATTTTCATTTTATAAACAAAAAACGTTCGTCCTGTTTTTGTGAGAATTAATTTTTCCTCCTGTTTTGAGTTTCTAATGCTCCTTAATCTGCAACCAAACACTGAAGAGCATTTACAGCTTCTGGCTCGATTTCCAAACAAATGTTTTTGAGGAGTTTCAATCTTTCAGGGGTTGCTGCACACTGACAGGCCATAAATTATCAAGACTTTCTCTGGCTTCTGCATTTTCCGTCAGTTGACAGAGAAGAATCTCGGGTCATCAAACTTTAGACACAAAACCCAGGAGAGTCCGCAGAGGGGTTTTCAATTCGTACGATTAAGGGCAATATATTGACATTGCACTACATACTATTGTATATCAGGACAACATGCTGCCTTGGTGTGAACTACAAGCAATAATGAAAGCCGAGGACAATGGGAAGAGCATTGTGTGTGGCTAAAGAGAAGCTGATTGACTCCGTATAAACACACACAAAGCAGTGCTGTGGGACATCCTGTGTCCTGCGTGTCCCTCCTCCTCCTCCAGCCGTCTCCAGGGACCCGTTACTGTGGCAATGAGCAGGCCTCAATGGCATGAACAGGCGTGTGAGTATATCCTGCATAAAACGTGTGTGTGTGTGTGTGTGCACATCAGCTGCATGTTAACTGTTAATCTGTGTGTGTGCGCTGGTGGGGGGGAGGAGGAGGAGGAGGAGGAGGAGAGGGTGTCCGAGGAGGCCTTTAGAAAAGCCCTAATTGCCGTTCCTCTCCTCTCCCTGGCCGTCACACCTTCCTCTGCGCTACGACTTTCCAGCCTCATCACACACACACAGGGAACACAACGCTAATTAGAGACAGCACAACCTCTCCTAATCACACTCTTACATGACTGTGACCAAAATGTCACTGTGTGCATGCAGGCATGTTTTTTTTGTGTGTGTGTGTGTGCATGTGGGGTTTTTTTTTAAGCAGAATTGGGAGTCCACTCGCCATATATTCATTTAGCAATAAGAGGTGGAAAAGCTCCAGCTGGGACTGCAGAGGTTTACTGTATATATGAGGTGGGAGCTCTAACTAGGATCCCTGAGGCTGTATGTATTTCCATTTACGCTACACAATAGTGTCTTATGATTAAACTAAAAAAAAACACTCTGAACTCTCCACAAATATTATTGATGAATGTGTATTTTGTGAGCATGCATGCGCTTGCACATCACATGCCAGCTCTGCACACAACAAAGAACAAAAAAAAAAAACCTGCTATCCACTTATGGTGCACAAGCAAATTCTTCAGAGGAAATGCTGACCAGCAGATGAGTTGCTTTCGACTGTCCGCGCTGTTCAGAGGAAAATACTGAATGTACAACATGAGTGCGTTGAAAAGGGAAGAAAAAAAAAAATGCTTATCATTACATTTGGCACCCTGACAAACTACTGTACTTCCAAGAGCTGTTACAAGAGAGGAGCTAGGGAAAGAGAGAGAGAGAGAGAGGGAGAGGTGGGGGAGAAAAAAAAGAGGAGAGGGATGGAGATTAAAAAAAAAAAAAAAAAAGATCTGAGGATAGAGAAAAAGGAGGGGGGTGAAGAAAAAAAAAAGAAGCAATGAGAACAAAAAGTGGACAGAAAAGAGTAGAGAAGTGGAAGAGTGAATCCGTGTCGGTCAAGTGAAAAGTGAGCTCTGGTATGATCAGTCAGTGTAAATGTAGTTAACTCATTTACTGATGTGCATCTGTGTGTGTGTGTGTGTGTGTGTGTGTGTGTGTGTGTGTGTGTGTNTGTGTGTGTGTGTGTGTGTGTGTGTGTGTGTGTGTGTGTGTGTGTCATACCCGTCTCATCTTCTGCAGTCTCCTTGGAGACAGGCTCTTGGTGCTGGTGGGAGACCCGGCACAGACCGTCATCCCCTCCTCTTCTTCCTCCTGAGAGAGAAGACGAACAGAAATCTCAGAGTTTCTGCTTTAAATGACTCAACCTGACTAAAATGTGCGTTCTTTGAAGGACAACGCTCCCATCTGCATCCGTGCAAAAGAACAAGACGTTCAGCAGCTCAGAACCATTTCCAGCTCTTTGTTCGGTTTGTTTGCCTTTTTGTTTTTTCCTCCTCGACATGTAATCGCAGGATAAAAGATCAGTCCGCTGTACGTCTGCGTGTTTTTGTGTTTTCAACAAACCTCACGAAAATCGACGGCGATCTAATTACAGACGATTATTTATGTTGAGCCACATCCAGCTTATTTCTCGGTGTCACGGAGCTCTGCTGTTTACAGAAATGAGCTGTTGCATCTGGTGACACCTTCATTAGGATGCTGCAGAAACCATTTATTCACCAAATCAGCAGCACAAAACAGTCACCGATCAGGGCAGCTCGGGTTCCTGTTAGAATCAAATGTGATAGAAAGGACAGCACAGAGTTGATCTTTATGTCCTCGGCATGGGTCTCAGAGTCAAACACATGGCAGGAGATGTTGGACGGCTTTGAGGTACTCCTTTAAAACTCCTATCAGGTGATGACAATCGGTTTGATGCTAATCGACTCTGACCAGGTTCAGATCGATGCGTTTGTGCTTTTTGGCTCCTCGTTTGTTCATCTGCAACTGGCAGCAGCTAAAATGCAGATCGAGAGAATGATTTCTCATTTGAACGAACAGGAAATCTGTTTAACTTCAAAATCAAATAGATTTCTGCACCTCTGTTTGCCTCCTCGCTCGCTCGCTCTGTGTGTGTGTGTGTGTGTGTGTGTGTGTGTGTGTGTGTGTGTGTGTGTGTTTGTGTGTGCAGGCTACACAGTGCAGAGCAGCGTGCACGCCTCTTGTTCATCATCAGTGCCCTCTCTCCTCAGTTTCCCACTGACAGATCAAACTGCTATTGCCTTTTCAAATCCATCAGGCTTATGGAAACATACACCTCGTTACATTAGCTTTGAGGAAATCACAGGCTCACTGATGAAATATGCAGACAATAAAAGAGAAAGAAGGGCCGGGGCTCGGATGACATGACAGGCCATAGCCAGAGGGGCGCTGGTTAAAAATGTACAGCCCTGAACAAAGCGCTAAGCAGGCTTCAACAGTCATTAAAAGGCCCCTACGTCAGAATCACACGCTACATGTAAAGCAGCCTTCCTGTCTGTTTCTATGAGGGAGGCATGTGTCTGTCTGCGCGCCTCACAACCGAGCTGTGTGTACATGTGTGTGTTTGCAGAGGCCGAGTCGGAGAGGTGTGAAGGTTCACGCTGCTCACCCTCGCTTTAAGCCGGCCCTTAATGTCCCGGATGCCCCTCTTGGCGTGAACCTTGGCCTGGGAGGAAGAAACAACACAAACACACACACACGCACACACACACACAGATTACTAATCAAAACATGTTGCATTAACATTCTGTTCTGGCTTCGTGTAACATCAAGAAATGCTTTGATCCCTGTGGCAAAAACACGGAGACAAAAGGCTGGATAAGAGAGGCTCGCTCGCTAACAGGAGGCGATAACATGAAAGGGCACCCTGACCACCTATTGTACGCCACATAACCGCACGGCACCGCTCATCAAACATTCACCAGCCGGGAACAGTCTCCCATTAGCTCCACAGCCAATTACAACAGACAAGTTTTTAGAGGCAATTTTCACATATTCAATAAATTCGAGCGCAACAATTAATTTTCTCCACAGAAGCTGCAAAATGTCGTCTAAGGTCTACTTATAGCTTCTTTTTTTTTTTCTTCTGAATTTCAGAAGGAAAACAAAGCGTGAAGCTGGAAGCACATTGTGCACTAGAACACACCTTTGTGACGGCTGTGTTGAACAGGGCTCCTCCTCTCTGCAACAGAAAACAATCTGTTAGTCACGTACAGACATTTGGGGAAAAGTTCTTTTCCTTTTTAAATGTATTTTGGACAGCAGGTGGTCCAGCCAGCCCATGGATCAGGTCTGAACCACTGAGCCACTATTTACAAGTCTTTGAGGAGGTATAGACAGGAAGAAGGTGTTTCAAAATAAAATGTAATGCTGGTGAGAGCAAAGAATGTAAAATGTACTGTACAGGATGGATGAAGATGTTATTTAAGGTCATTCTGGGTATAAGTTTATTATGAAGAATTATGAGATGGATTTATAATTCTGTGTATGATTTAATGTATGTTATACTGAATGACAGCATGTTTCTCTACCTTATTGTGTAAAGTTAACGAGATGAGCTGTTGTGTTTGTTGTGTGTATAAGTGTGATTGTGATGTGTGTGGACCCCAGGAAGAATAGTCGATGCTAACGCTGCTGCTAATCCTAATAAACGAATCGAAAGCCCAGAGTTTCTATTCACTCGCAAACATCCAAACAAATCTTTCTTTGGGTATTGATGTTTACTGCAACGCTATGAAAACGTTCCTTTCCAGCTTTCCAATTAACAGCTCACAGTACACGCCGTAATTAAAACCTAACAAAAGTGATCTAACAGTTTGGGAGCAGAGTGTTGTCTCAGGTAACGGCTCAACACAATGCATCGGTTTCATTATTCAATGAGATTTTTTGCACGCGTTTGCTGTGACGTACAGCATCTTCATCAATACCTACAGGAGACGCTAAACAAAACCACGGCTCTGTAGCTGTTGATGGGATCGTCATGCAACTTCAGTAAAAAAAAAAAAAGAAGTGGTGACACCAGACAAAGTATCACATCAGCGATCCAGGATAAACGGCACGACTCACGGCGTTCAGGAGGGTTTTATTTAGAAGCAGCCCAAAACAGTGATGGAAGGGACCGGGTGTGATTGATTTCTACTTTGAGTTGTGCAGACTGACATTATGGTGCCCAATATCTCTCTGTGCCTTTCTTCTTTTCTCTCTCCGAGTTGCTGCTTCTCTCCTTTGGCGTCTCGCTCCTTTTCTCTCCGTTTGGTCTTTAGTGTAAGCACAAAGCGGCGGCTAAACGGCTAAACAGAGTAAATGGCAGGCAGCGTTTCAGAAGTTGGCAGAGGGAGAGGAGGAGAGGGGCCGAGGTGAAGGCCCCTCTTATAGATCCCTGTCAGTCAGGAAATGTGAACTTTAACAAACCTTTGAAGAGCACTCTAGAGAACTAATTCAGCCTTAGCTGACGGCGTGGGGAGAGAGGGAGGGCGAGGGAGAGATACTCAGTGAGAGAGAGCGAGGGGTGGGGGCTGTGACAGAGATGGAATAAAAAAAATAATAAAAATAAAAAAAAAAAAAGGGGCGAGAGATAAAGACAGATAGATAAGGGAAGAAAAGGAGAGGAGGAAAGAGCCGGGGAGAGATGAAGGAGGGAGAGACGTATGTTCTTGGGCTGGTTCACGCCTGTGTTTGCTGCCAGATCAACATGTCATGTCGGAGGACGTCTTGTCACGTCAAATCACTTCTGTCTCCCTCCCTGTCTGTCTCCACTGTCCTGCTGCACGCGCCGCTTCACACCAAAGTGCACTGGAGCCGGATCTGTACGTTCAGGCAGCGCCTTCATTCCAAAGGCAGCACCGCGACTTCAAACGCTGAGTCGTGTCAATCACGCCGCTTTCAATTAAATAGAACTCGGGAATAAAACCACTGATATTAAAAAAAAAAAGAAGGGCCATTGATAAAAGCTGTGATAAACAAGACATCCTGTGAATACCTTTACAGTGTGCATCCACTGCTGGTAGGACCTCGAATTACCTGAAGGGATGCATAAAAGACAGGAAATATGAATTAATCATTTTGCACTCTGCGCACACTGTGATGCTAAAATAACTCAAATATTACCCTGTGATATCATACAGCCTCATAAGCACGCACACATTTGCACATTATTAAGCAAGTTATAGGAAAAACAAAATCCTACATTAGACATACAGACTGACATGAACCGTGGTTGATTTAAAAATGTGTACAACACCCATAAAAATAAAGCCCTACAATACTGACTGGCTTTGATATTACTTCCTTCTTTTCAGGAAAACTTGCACAGTACAATATGCCGTCCTTTTTTAATTCCTTGTGTCCTTAATAAGAATCCAAAGAGATGAATTTGTGAGGACAGAAAGGCAGATTGTTGTACAGTGGAGACTTTTTGGAGATTGCTATTAAATGTTTAAAGAGCAGATAGCAGTGTGGGCTGGACCAAGATCAGGACTAATAAGCCCAATTATATGACGGATATTTTAGCTGCGGCTCCGGCTGGATGGCATCGCTTGTTTTCTTGCCATGTGAATACGACTAAAACCTGAGGTGTTATGATCAAAACAAACTAATTTGTCTGAGCTCTCCTGTGGGATTCACACTTAAACTTCCGACGTCTCGTTTACAAGAAGCTCGACTCTTTTGTCGAGCTTCTTTTGCTAAAATCAATTAGATTTATATGCAATATAAATTCCAACAAGGGTTTGTGCTGCAAAATATCATGCGACATACTAAAAGGATGCAGGTCAAATACGGAAAATTCACAAGTTCAACCTGGGAGGCCGAAGCTCAACGCTGATTTTAGAACAGCTAACAGCAATTAGAAGTCATGGGAGTGATCTTGGATGAATATTTAACGGCCTGTATGTTGCTTTTTGCAGCTCAAACATCACTGAAACAACGAGGAGTTAAGGACCTGATTTTTATTTTTTAAAATGAACATGTGATAAAAGTTGCTCAAAATCCAGTCTCAAGAAAATTTAGGCGCTTTTTAATCAATTGATCATCAGATTTACACATGTACTGTTTTACGAGCTTGAGAGAGAGAGAGAGCTGTATTTAATCTGGCCATTGAAGGGACTTTTTTTTAAAAATTTTAACAACTTCAAAGGTTTCTCCATGTTCAGTTTTTTTTTTTTTACATTCATCACAGCACAACAGCTTCTGCGTGTTGCATTAAATATGCCAAGCAAATATAATGCAGCTAATTGATAGACAAGACGAGCGCTACTCACTTCCACAGAAGCCCCCCTCTGTGATCTCTTCTTCAAACACGTCGGTGAAGCCGCGGCCTGCGTTCAATTTGGCCAGCCGTCCGTCGATGAACTACAACCATAAATTACAACATGCTTATTAAAGGAGGGAGGCGGCGGCGGGGGGATGTGGACACACAGATACGCGCACATACACACCGATTCAAACAGTCCAGCCGCAGAGGGGTGTTATTAATCCTACCTGACGGAAACTACATCCCAAGATTAGGTGGGCTGCAGGTAATAGGGATTTGGTAATGTGGAGCAGGTGAGGGATTAGAGCAGCAGACTACATGCTGCACACTGTCTGAGACACGAGGAAGTTTCATTTCCTCCCTTTATAACATGGAGCGCATAAAACTCTGTCTCATAAATATGGACTTAACAGCCAAGACAGCTACACATTTCACGAGTGCAGTCACAAACGCACATAAATATGTTACGCAACCATAAGCAAGCGCAAACATTGACAAACGCATAACTCAACGTTTGAGATTAACGGAATAACGAAACTCTTCAGAGAGAGAAAATAGCTTGTGACATGACGGGACAGAAGCTGGGACAAGATGGGCAAAAAATGAAATTACATTCATAATAGTTAGAACCAATTGAAGGCCTTTGCTGTCATAGTTTTACTCAAAGCAAGTTTTTAGTTACGTGACTCTTGTATTGTCTCATGTCAAAGAAAGCCAGCTTTCTAAAACACCGACAGTAAAGAAAATCTTTGAATTTCACCAAAACAATTATGGCATTGTAGATCACTCAGTGGCACACATGGAGCGCTGGTTCCCATTAAGCAAATCCAACCACACTGACCCCAAGTTGCTGTTCGCTTCCTGCCCCATAGCTTATAACATCAGCAAAGCTCTGCGTCGTGACATGATCACGTTAATCTGGGTTCTCCCACTGAGCAACTGGAACAACCAAGTTTGCTAAAAGGCAGAAGAAGCCGACACTCTACAGGTTTTTTTTTCTTTGTCTGGAAGCTTCTAATCATTTTCAGGCTTAAAATGTTTTCAACCTATTCAAAGTTTTTTCTTTTTTTTTTTAATGTGAAGGTAGGAGGAAAACGTAGGTAACAATCTGCACCGGTGTCATTTAAAATAATGAGTGTCCATACATTTATATTTATTGACAGATGATTCCATTAATTAGCGATCAACACCTCCTACTTTTAAAGCATCCTTCTGCATTTTTAACAGCAACAACAAATGCTGCTGAACTATTATCACGAATACAAATACTTGAGTGCAGCATATTGTCCTTCTTTTTATTTATTTTTTTTAAACAGCAACAGTCCTACTCACACCCCTGCGAGCGTGTGTCCAAAGTGTAACAACAGTATATGTTGTTGTGGGTGCAGGTCCTCGGGGACAGCCTGCTAACTAGCGACCGACACGGCCGCCCGCTCCTCTGGTCAGAAGAGCTGGAAACTCATCATTAGATCATTTTAATGAGAGGTGAGACTGCAGGTTCCAGCCACTGCTCGGCTACATGGCTGGCCCAATTAGTGCAGATAATCAACCCAAATCATCACCTCGCCAAAGCCTCCACTTATACCCCCACTACAGCCCCCCCCCCAGCCCCAGCCAGATTACCTGCCCCTCACTGTGGGCCTTAATTAGACATTACTCAACAATGGCAGACTGTGATCACCACACTCTGACACAACGCTTAAAAAAAAAACGCGAGCTCGGGTACACATGAGCACGTACGCAAACACAAAAGACAAGGGCTCATTTTCTTTGTTTTGAAAGCCACAAAAAATACAGAAGGAAAAAACAAAAAAAAACTCGTCGCGTTCAGACCAAATCAGGGCCGGCGTCGCTCAAGCGGGAAATAAATAAAGGTTTAAAGAAGCATTAAGATGTTATCGATATTTTTTAAACACAGTTCCCGAATATTCAAATAATTTTGCTTGTATCGTTGCTAACTTTGACCGACACGCCCCGGCTGATGGACGTTTGTGAGTCTGGAGGTGCGTCCTGCTCCGTCTCTACATGTCATCTCGTGTCTTGTTGCTGCTGCAGGAAGACTTTTCCCATCTGGCTGCCAGCAGACTGACTCACTGGCAGGTTGGTCACAGTGGTTGAGGTTTACTTAAACTCAGCAATTGTGGAGTCAGAAATTAATATCAGGAGTCTACAGGGATTCATGTGTAGATGAAGAGGCTAAAAAGAACTGCGATGTTTTTTTTCCACACAACATACTTCTTGTGTTTCTGCAGGGAGGGTTTCAAGGTTGGATTCGGGTTTAAAGCCGGCCTCTATCTTTGAAGGTTGCTCGAGCGAGGAAATACAGATTTAGGCAAAAAGAAGGAAAACGTGGGACGACAATGAGCACCGCTTTGCACGCTGGGATACGTGTCAATTGTGGAAAAACAATTCTCAAAATGTCCACCAAGACAGACACACACTAGAAGACGTGAAATTAGATCAACAATAGTCAGTGGGGTGCAGGAAGAGCTGCTTTGTTTAAAGCAAGCATCCACTGGTGGTGCAACATGTTGATCGATGACTCTTTAGATTCCAGTTGACTTCAACAAGAATTCTGATTACTTATCAACTGAATGCAAATTATATTTATGTGTGTGTATTTTTTATTATTATTCTTTATTCTGGCCGTCAGCGCACGGCTTCGTTCTGTCAGTAAACGGAGGCCTTTACTGAATCCGTGCTAACGTGATCCACACACGACGACGCGCTCGTGAGCATGTGCGAGTGTAGGAGCCCAGGACGGTTGATAAGAAGCAGGTTAATGTTGACAGACTTTCCCCCCGCACGCATTCTTTTGGAAGATTTCTCCCACTTGTTCTGTTCAGAGATGGGCTGGTGAACGGAGCGCAGAGGGAGAAGTCTGGGAACAGAAGCGTGTTCGAAGGTGAAACTGTGACATTTAAAGAGGCATGCAGCCGGCGTGTCTTTATATTTAAGGGCCGGCCGAGTCGCTCATTGAGGGACGAGGTGGAACCACGTTTGTTGACGCTCAAATACACTCGGTTAGATGTGAGTGGATTAAAAAACCAAAATATTCATCTGTTAAAGGCCCATTTACATTTCAGTCATTTAGGAGGTGTAAGTTATCCAAAACCGATATTTGTCGTATTAATAAAAGCCACTGTTGGCCCTAAATGTCGTGTAACAGCACAACGGTGTTTCTGTCCACTCGACCGTTTCGCTGCCTACGTTTTAATAACGTGCCGCTGAATTTGCATGAGCGACTCCATGTTGCTCACCTTATGAGGCTGTCACTTGTGGCCGACTGCGGAACAAAAGAGGTGCTTTACGGGGAACGAAAACACCCAAATCACTAAATAAAGTACATGTAGAAAAGCAATTTCCTGCTGCGATGGTAACACCTCAAACTCAGGTAACACCTCCACATTGTGCACATGTGGTTCAGCGCGTGTGCAGTGTGTGTGTTGTGGTCGACCAAGTCCAATAATATGGTTTAAATTTTTGGAAGTTTAAACTAGCATTGCTGACATGAAGCTGGCAGCGCAAAACTCACACGCTGTGGCCATTGTTTTCAAACGAATAAATACCGTGCGCCTGATTTAAATGCGTCTCTATCATATGGTTGCTTTCTAGTCGAGCGCCGAGGACTGGCTGCTTGATAATTGAGCAACCCAACCTGTTTGTTTACTCTAACCGAGCTCAAAAACGGTAGCTCTGATGCCCCGTGGTTCCCCTCTGTCAACAATCCCGCTGGGACACGAGGCATAAACTGTTCACTTCAACTGGAGAATAGGGAAAACAAACAAGAAAGGAAAAGAATTAATTAAATTAAAGTTTTAAAAAGATCCTAATCCCTGCTCAGTGCAACATTTGTGGATTTTTATCTATTTTTTGGATAAGAATATATATAGCGGGCCCCAGTTGTAACCCTCGCTATATGTGGCTATTTATGTTTTTTAATTAGAGGAAACGCCAAGAAAGCCGTCAGTCTTTCATACACCTAATCGATGTTTAATCATGTGACAAGAAACAAAACAAAAAACTGGATTAAGATAAATAATGGGACAAAGGCTTGAGCTGTAATAACAGTTGGGATATAAAACATTCAGCAGCAAAACAATAAGCAGAAGTACTGGAAGAAATCCAAACATCTCCAGTCCCGCAGCGCGTACTTATCCATATAAAAATTAATGCATGCGTGTGGCCATGCAGGCTGAGCAGTGTTTGCGTGTTTGTGAGCGGATGTGGGTCACGGCCGGAGCAGCACTCGGGCGAACCGCTGGCCTCTCTCACTTTAGTGGAGAGAGGAGTGGAGGAGATAAGCTCACCCCATCCCCAGCGCTGGAGAGGAGAAGGAGGAGGAGGAGGAGATAAGGGCCTGTTTCCCAATGCTACCGCTCAGGCAGGAGCCAGCCGGGAGGATGCTTTGAACTGCTGCTCGCTATCTGCTCTGCCTGGGAAAATTATAAACGGAGTGTCCAGAGAAACAAAAGGCTGATTGAGGGGCCGCTGTGTTGTACTCTCGGGGGTAAATCACACCACTATCATGGGTCAGAGAGCACAAAGAAAAATTCAAGGGGGCGAGAGGAAATTTTCTCCGGAGCCAGAGGTGTCTTTCCACTCGGCTCCGGCTCTGCTAAGTTTAGTATTACTGAAGGGATTTGGGGGGGAAAACATATTAAGAATACATGAGTGATTTTTAAGGGGAAACCACACATGAATAAAGGATACCTGCTCGCGCTCAGACACAAACACACAGCACATAAACACACACATCACCACAGCAGAGTTTACAATATCTGCCAGTGGTGAATATTCAATTTTTTTGCAGGAGCAAGTTAAAATTCTGGCTCTATTTTTTTTTTTTGTGTTGCTCACAGATACGCTGAAGACAGAATTTAAAATTGATGTGGGCTCGCACAGTCAATAGGCAGTCAACATTTCTGACTTATCACGGGTTTGTTTGTAACCCAGATAAAATTGAACAAACAGAGAAAAATTAAGATGTTCATTCGGAGATAAGACGCAGTAAACTGTTCCTGGGGGTCAGTAACCGTCCGTAATCCCAGGCCCCTCGCTTCCACATTCCTCTACAACCAGAGCACTTGATGCTAAACGCTAACTTCGCCCAGCTGACAGTTTGCTGAGTGGAGCTGAGACAACTTTCATCTGTAAAAAATGAAGACTTTCACACTTCTGACTAAAAAAAAAAAAAGAGAGAGAGAGCTAAAAAGTAAATAAAGTGATGCTGATGGAAGAGCGCTCGGGCGTCGTTTTCTGTTTGTGTTTGCCTCTGGTTTACCAACTAGAGCCGTGCATCAGTCAGTGAGCTCCAGCAGACGACTGCGGGTCAACTTTTGATAATTAACAACAAACTGTGTTCAGTGATTACAACACGTAGCATCAGTCCTGGTTAACACAGGGGCGTCCAGTCCTGGTCCTCGAGGGCCTGCATGTTTCAGATGCTTCCCTCTTGCATCACACCTGATTCAAACGATCAGGATCGTCATCAGGCTTCTGCAGAGCTTGATGATGAGCTGATCGAGGACCAGGGTTGGACACCTCTGGGTGAACAGAAACACACACGGTTCGTACCTGTTTGAAGAGCTGCAGGTTGACAGCCATGGACAAGAAGTTCCTCATGGTGCTGGAGCGATGGTTGACAAAGCTCTCTTCACAGAACGTGATCGGCTCTCCCTGCAGAGACCACAGAGACGTTATTGGCAAAGCAACAAGATAAACAATAAATACTAATTCACTTTGGCTCGCTGTTTGTTTGCACTAATCTGTTTTCTTCACTTAGCTCAGATACGAGTCACAGGAAGAAGGCAGGTGCTTTGACAGGCGGGGGGTCCACACCGAACACTGCTGTTTATAATATGATTCGTGAAAGAAACCAACGAAATGTGTATAAAGTCTTCTCTAACCAAGGAGTATTTCAACTGATTTCTTCATTAGTGAGCAAAGACAAACAGAAAACTAGTCTAAAAGTGAGACAGGAAGGAGAGAGGAAGGAAGAGTGAACATGAGAAAGAACTGGAAACCGTCTCCGTTGTAACGTTCCCCTGGCAGCGAGCACATGATCTCCCCCGGACCAGAAGACAGTGTCCCAGTAAACTCCCCTCTACTCCGCATGAACACATTATCACATTATTACTATTTCTTACATCATGTCTGTTGGCCTGTGAGCTATAGACACGGAGGATGACAACAGAACCACTGCAGGCCAATCACACGCTGCCCCACGGTCATTTCCAATTCATGTTTTCTCATAATTAACATAATTCTCACATATTTCAATGATGCTCTAAATTCTTCTGAAGTAAAACAATGTGCTTTGTCTGTTCCAGGCCACGAGCGCAGTGTGGCACATAAAAACAACTTAACAACACGGGAGACTAACCCCGTTTTCCAGAGATGGGCGGATGATACCGGTGGCCCAAATTACATCACAGCAATGCAGCCCCACTTACATCACTAAAAGTTTTGAAGGCGTATTCATCTCGTATAAGTTGAGTTGAAAGCAGCCTCGCTTGTTTAATCAGCCTCGGACCACTCTGTGGCTAACAAAACTGAATAGCATGCCGAACAGCTAGCTGCTACTGAGGAAAAAAAAACTTTCCAAGTGTACAGTACTCTGGATCCTTCAGTTCACACAGGCCTGCGCTGAATGACAAACACAACCGAGGGTGGATCCTCCCAAATAAACTACTTTACAGGACTTATAGGAGGAGAGCAGCAGTATTTGTTGTAAACAGGGTGATCAAGACATCTGGTGTGAGCAGACAAACACAGTCTTTAGCGTGTACAGCCAATGAAGTGGGCTGGAAACGCTCTATTTAGAGAAAAAACACGGGGCTAGGCTGGTGTTGTAAGGAAAAGGCCATCGTACTTCTTCACAGTATAAACACTTTATTACATTTTTTAAAAATGTAATGCGGGTTTAGTGCCTTGCTTAAGGATGAGTCACTCTACAGTAAACGCAGAGCGATGAATGATGCACCGCTTGTTAACTTCTTCCAAGGCTGCTTCTATTCATGTGGTTAACTTCATTCATATATTCAGCACTAAAATGTGTGTTTTTTTAAATTTCATCACATTATTAACACATGACACACACCAGACCGTCCTCCATCTGCAGCATGTGAGCTGGAAACCGAACCACTTACATGGATTTAATCATTAAACTGAATATTATCATTATTATTCATTTAAATGACATGGATTAGTGTCTTTACATGTAAGAGTAACTTCTATCTTGTGTTTTATCTCATATGCTGGTTTCATGTGTGCTTTTCTACTTGTATGTTGTGCGTGCTCCCGTTTCATGTCGGATTAAATCTGCCTTTTTGGTTTTTGGTGAATAAATGCGTCATTTTCTCTAAACCAAACCGACCAACCTGCAATGAGAATTTGCACTCAGAAGGGTTTTCGTGTCTAAAACAGTCTCATTTGAAATCCGTGACGACGCCTCGGCCACGCCCACCGGCAGGCTTTACATCTGCTTGTAGGTTCTGAACCGGTTTCATGCCTACTAGGTAGAACTTTAGCTTCTTCTTCTGCTCCCACCTAGTCGAGAGCACGGAGCCATGAAATATGCACAACACACTTCTCCAACTTGGCTTCACCGGCGGTGGTGAAAATTAATTTGAATTGCTATTTCAGGTTCTTTTGTCAAACGTGTCGTACGTCGAGCTGTTGAGAAACACCTGGGGAACATCGACGTGAGCTGAAATTGATGACCTAAGAAATGCCCGTATAATCAGCTGATTGCTTTTCAACTCATTATCTTTTTCCAGTTTTGTTTCATTTACAACTCAGCAAGACTCCCACTAAGCATCCACACCCCTCCTTCTGTCGAGGCATATGGGTCTGTGAACCACAGAGCGCCGCTCAGCTCTGTCGAGGAACATCTTTTCTTCAGCTTCGAACAATGAGTGGCTCAGTGATATTCCGCAAACACCAGAACGCGGGGAATATCATCAGTATCTTCATTAAATCCAAAGTGCAGCTTGTGCGTGTTGGTGTGTTCGCATGTATGTTATGTTAACTCCAAGGGTTTTATACAGACTCTAAGAGAAAACACGGTGTGAGCGTGAGTGAACTGAGAAATCACTGAATGTTGTGCTCACACACACAAACACACCAAGTCTCAGCGCTCGTGTCAGAGGGGAGGCAGTTTGTTCATATACTGTCTGTATACAGAGAAAAGAGAGACAGCATCAATAATGTAGCATCTTGACTCCGGGAGTCCACAAAGTCCAATTAATCTCAAAGCCAAAGGAACAAAGGCTTCGCTATTTGACAAACAGGACATGGTGTAGTTTGCTCTGCTCTGACTCAGACTTGATAAGCAGAAAAGATCTAGAAATGAAATGTTAGGGGGGCTTAGTAAAGGAGAGTTAAACACCAAAGGTGGCTAAAAGGGATCTTCAAAGGGAACGTCCTGACTCTTTTCAGCTCCTCTGACATTTCACTGCCTCAGACAGGCCCACCTTAGCTCTGCGCTCCGACTGAAAACACACCTTTTACCTTCAGTCAAAACTGCCCCAGTCTGAACACGCGCTCAGCTCATCCAAACTAAGACTGCTGCGATGTGCTGTACGTTCAGAGGAGAAAACAAATGATATTTACTGCTGTGAATACGTCTGCATGTGGATGCTAATGCAGTCTGTGGCCTCGCGTGTTTCAGTGTAAGTTTAGTCGTTATTTATGCACAGTCAAAACGAGTACAAATTGTAAAAGTCCAAAGCCTTTTGGAAACTCCCTGCCTTTACATATCTGCTTAATGTGGCATCTTAGCTTCAATTTACATTCAAATTAATTTTTCCACAGAAAAACGGGGCTGAAGTTTGGGTCTCACAGCAGAGAACCTCTTCCAGTCAGGACGTGTGAATCATGAGCGTCTTATTTTGGCACTCTATTGTTTTCTTATCATGAACTCCAACCTCGATTTTACTGCACCGCTTATGTTTTATATATACGAGCGTGAAATCGATCACATGTGTGGAAGGAAACAGAACAAACAGCACTTTCTCCAAGGATGGATGCACTGACCTAGAAGCAGCTGAAGTATCAGTAAGTGAATATTTATGAATATGGCATTATAATATTTCCGTGCAGCGGTGCTCTGTACAACTTAATGGGCATGTGGACACTGCAGGAGCTGCATCCTGTAATTACTGTGCATTCATTTTCTTTTCTCGTGGACAGATTTTGGTGAGTCTTAATGCTCTAAGCACCACGACCACCACCTCTTTGGTGTTGGCATGGTGGAATCCCAAAGACTGATATCTGAAAACAAGAGGACATACAAAACCCAAAGCAGCCATCCGTAGGAATAAAGGAAAGTGGATGAAGTAACCCTTTGGATATCAGCAGCTTAAACATTGTGCCCGACTCTGATTTTGAATTGAAACACGTTTATACTCCAAAACCCATTTTACTACGACAGAGCCAGAACGACTGCTAGAGATGAACGGCACTGGGTCCTTACGGGTTTGTATCTGAGGGCATCCCGGTAGGATCCAAACAGAGCGGCCTGCGCTCTCAGGAAGGCCCTCGCCACGCCACTCCCTGTTGCCGTCGACTGCTTCTTCAGCTTGCTCTTCAGAGAGGACACCTGGTGGAAAACATAAAGAGAGAAAGAGATGGAGAGCAGGGAGGTGGGGAGGGAGAGAGAGAGAGAGAGGGGAGAAAGGGAGATATGGAGGGGTAAAAGTTAAATTATCACCTCTGAAATTGGTGGAGGAAACAGCTAGCCCATTCTGGGTGTGAAGTATCACATTTGCAGGTCATCTCAAAAAAGGAAAGAAAAGAAAGGGGAGAGCTTCAGCCTTTGCTGCGAGCTCAACTGTTGTGCTGCTGGGAGCACCTGCTGCTTTGCTAATTGAGCAGAGCACGGGGGCGGCGGGAGGGAGGGGACAGCGGAGAGGAAATGGAAACTCGCATCCCAGCTCTTCCTCTCTCGCCCTCTCTCCTCTCCACGCTGCCCCCCCGTCACCTTCATGCTTTTTTTTTTTTCCTTTTTCATTTCTCCATCTCTGCGCCTCGCTCTCCTTCTCGTTCCTTCCAGTCCTCCTGTTTTCCCCTCCCCTCTTGGCTCTCTCGGACTCCCTCTAGAAAGGGATTCTTGACATAAAACGTCTTTAATTATTTTCCCCTCTCCTGGCTCTGTCTCCAGGACTCCAGGCGAGACTGGAGGAGCAGCAGGCCCGAGCTTGTTTTAGGATGACAAAAGATTCACCCTGGCCACCGGGCCCTGGGGAGCCGGGGAAGGAAGTTGTCAAGAGGCTCTCCTCACCTGCTCAGCAGTAGTCTGACTGTGTTGTGGCAGCGCGAGGAGGAGGCAGAGCCGGTGAGGGACTGCTGCTCTCTGTGTGGGCTGTGCCAGCTTAGCACAAAAGCGGAACGTTTGATTGGGTTGCGCAGGAAGTCTAGATAGCTGTAATGCAGCTTGGTGTGGGCTGTTGGCAGCAGCGTGAGCTCCAAAAGAAAATAAGTTCAACCTTCAACTTCAATTAGTGACAAAGTGATCGATTGCAACTTTAGATTGTTTCTATACTGTGTAAATAAAACAACAACAACTTATAATAGGCTAAAAACTTTACAATCAATGCTTCGTCTCTCTCTGCGTACAACCGATTGTCTCACTGGTGGGCACCCCTACCGGACAGACTGAGCCTAAAGTCTCCCTCCTCCTGGGGCAAGAGAACTGACTGCACATGCACAGCTGATGTGTGAAATGCAAAAGTGTGTGTGTGTGTGTGAAACAACCAGCAACAGCGTGAATTAGGGTTTCCAGTTAGCAGTCTTCTATATTAACACCGCGCTGCATATCTCACCCGTCCGTTCAGTCTAATGCAACACGTGGGCTCTGTGTGTGTGTGAGAGCTCAAGTGTTGATTGTCTGACGTGTCCACCTCTTTAAAATTAAATATTTAGCAAATTTCTCTGCGTTGGTAGGATTTGATAGTAGCAGGAAGATCATGATGAAGTGATGAAAGCAGCAAAAGGAAAAAAAAAATCAGCTTTAGTCCACCATGAAATGACCCCAGTGGTTCTGCAATGTGATAAAAATGTTTTGATGGGGTCTGTTTCGATCAGAGGTGGCCAGATGTGCGGCGCTGGAGCGATACGGCGGTCTGGCGTGTGCAATTAGCCTGTGTGGGGAAAACTTCAGGGAGGAGAAGCAAAGTGTTAGCACGGCTCATCCAGAGGACATGGCAGAGAGGAACAGAGAGGCGGAGAGGGAAGGAAAGAAGGCGAGACAGAGAGAGTGGCAGTCTTAAACTGGGACAAAGACAAAACGAACAGTGTTGAATCCTCTCCCCTGGGCTTCCTCACTCTCCACAACGTCCCCGTGCTGCCATTGCAAATGCTCCCAGGCATCAAACAGAAAGTTTATCACGGTTAAATTAACAAGTGTCATCTCCATATTCACTCATTGTGCTAAATGCTTTTATGTTTATGTAAAGCCCTTTCTGGAATTAATATTTCATGTTTATGTGCATTTTCACTGATTTTTTTCATCCTTGCAAATCATTAAATTGTCTTTTTTTTTTTCGGTGGTGGTGGTGGTTGGGGGGGGAGGGAATCAAAGCGAACACAATGTCAGTCTAAGAGGGGGAGGCATACCCCAAAGACTGTCAGAGAAGACGGGATAGCGGAGTTTACTCTGCACACAGCTGAGTTCTGTACAGCAGCAGCTTTGAACGGCTGAGAGCTCTGCAGTGGCAAACACTTTTTAATGAGGTGGGGACACAATCACTGGTGCTTTTCCTCCCTGTGTTAGAAAAATGGGTGATAAAGCGATAAGTTCAAAGTTTCACGTATATTTAGGAGAACGATAAAGACCGAAGAAAGGCGGCGATTAATTAAACCGTTACATATAACAAATCAAATATAGTCGTAGTGAAACAGAACGGATACAGTTTTTTGCTAATAGAAATCAAAGCACACGCCACAGCGTGCTCCTTCACATACCCAACACAAAAAATAAATGTGTATTTAGTAATTGGGTTTTGAATATGGCGCCTACGCCACAATCATCAGGTATGCCTCCGAGGTAATGGCTCTGTCAAACTAATTAACTTCTGCAGTTTGAGTGAAGCTAACGAGATGCGTACAGGCATCAGAGGAAGGCCAGGCTCTACAGGTGATAACCCTATTTGGCAGTGACATTTTTTAGTGTAAAGTCACAGTGGCGGTGATGAGATCAAAGGCAGAGAGTCCCCCATTGGGTCCAATTAGAACTATAGCATTGTACAGGGAAGGGGTGGCGGTGGGGGGGAGAGGGGAGTGGGTGGTTGGGGGAGAGGAGGGAAAAAAATGTTGAGTTATGATATTCATAATCTATGCAGAGAGGCCTTTCCAGTACAGGTCTTCTCCCCATAGCTGTGATCTTTTCAATTTACATCAAGGGAAGATGGTCGGGGATGAAAGCAGGGCATCCAAGGCGCACAGCCCACAGAGGGCAGACATGGGGCCTCATTAAGGCCCGGCCCAGCCAGCCCCAAACAGGGTTTGAAGTGCGTCACATAAAGAGCATGGGGTCAGAGGTCAGACATAGAACAGATCTCCATTTAACTCTCCAGCTGGAGATGGTAATTAGCAGGTGCAATGATGATCCCTGCCTGACTGTAAGGGATGATACCACTATAGGTGACACCAGGCATCTGTGTGAATGTGTGTGGGCATCCGTGAGCATCTCTGCACACATGGCGCCTCGACGCGTCGATATATAACATCTATCAGGGAGACCAACTCATTTTCCCATGTGTGTATACAAAACATTATTATTATTATGTGTATAGTACATTTACACCTACACAAGCATTTACAGAATATATATTTAAAAAATTAAAAAGAAAACCGTGATGTGAGGTTGCTGCTGCTTCTGCTGTATTCCAAAACGAACCTCATGAGATGATCACAGATCCATCACCGGATGTTGTGCAAGAACACAAGTAATATTTCTAGAAAGCAATAAAACCATCAGATCACAAGACATCAGCGACAAACCTCCACTTTTAGTTAATAAAAAACAGAAAAGAACACATGACAAAACGTGGGAGCCTGACTGACAATTTTAGATTTACTGTTAAATAAATGCAAAAAAAAAAAAAAAAGGAAAAGTTGCTCCTAAACCCTGAATATATATTTAGAATTTTACTCAAAATTTTCACTGCAGCATATAAAAAAAAATAAAACCTCTCCCAAATAATGACCCTGACACTTGTCTGTTGTTTAAAAAAAATAAAAAAAAGAATAAAAGTTGGGTTTTCTTCTCACAAAAAAAAAAGAGAATGTTTTGTTTAAGATTCTGTCCAGGGAAAGAAAGCCATGGGGATGCAATTAAAGAACTACAAAGAAAAAAAATAGTTATGAAAATCTCCCACTTTCTTTTGATGTGCTGCAGTCTGAACTGTACACACACACACACACACACACACACACACGCACACACATCTGAACAAAGACACACAGAGAAACAACATATACTCACACATGCACACAAGTACACAAAGAGCACGCAACTTGGAATCTATGAAATTCATTCGTTCAATTAAAAATAAATATGAGATAGCTCGTGATTTTTTTTTATTTTTTTTTTTAAATTAACCTCTATTTTCTCACCATAAAAGTGCACAATAATAGGAATTATTACTTAAGCTGGCGGGGTGGAGTCGACTACAATCTCTTATAAGCAGCCAAATGAAACTACTAGTTTTTAGGTACGATTGCAAAAATAACTTAAATTAGCAAAGCGACGGGATGAAATAAATACGGAAAAATGCAGATAAACTGGAGCAGATAGACTATTAGGGCGCAAAGTGTGTAATTCTTAGTCATTCAGCGTGTTGATGTGTTGTTAAGTACATGCAATGCAACGCTTTAGTCAGGCAAAAAAAAGGAAAAGCAAAGGGGAGGAAAACGGCGTACGTGTGTGTGTGTGTGTGTGTGTGTGTGTGTGTGTTTTAATAGGGCTATCTCATTGCCATGAGATTCTCCCCGGTGTGGGGTTACTTTGTCAAGCTGACCTCTTATAGCAGCTGAGCGGCTGAGTTTTGCATACATAATTAACTACAGCTAAATGTCATCTCTCACTTCAATAACTAACGCAGTGGGTGATGCTGCTCTCCCTTTTTGACTTCTAATCCGGAGCGAACCGCCGGCACGACGACTATGTGAAAATGAAGTGCAGCTTTTAAACTCCACATGAGTAAATGAAGGGCTGCTAACACCGCGGAGAGCGTGTATGCTCAGTTCAGCGCCATTTAAAACAATCGTAACCTGTAAAATAACGTTTCAAATGAGCAGATTCTGGCATTTGCAGCTGGTAAAAATGCAGATTTAACAACAACAACAACAACAGCGGCGGCGGCGGCGGCGGCAACAAAATCCAATACTTTGCTTGGAGCTTGTTATTTTATGGTGTAGATGCCAAGACTGTTTCTGGTAAAGTACAGTATGCGACTAAGGTGGAGCAACCGCACTCCCAGCACTGAATGTAGTTAGTAAAGCATGCGAGGGGCTTTACTGTAGGTGGCTCCGCCGTACTGGGAAGACATCAGTACACTGAAACACACAAAGATTGGGGGAACCTGGTGGACAAACCCCCCCCCAAAAAAACCCGTGAGTAGCAAAAGTTTCCTCCTGAACTAGATGTGAATGTCGCTGATGAACATTCCTGGCCGCCGATGTGTAGGTGTCTCTGTGTGTGTCTGCGCGAGTGTTGCCTGCTGTCGGCTGCTGTAGACGATGATGTAGATGTTGTTTTCTGGAAGCGTCGGAAACTGAAACACCAAATTAAAGCCGCGATGTTTGATTAAGTGTGCCAGGTGATCTCAGGAGAGGCGTGCAGACACAACCTCAACCCCCTCATTCATTTGTAAACCTCCGAATGCAGGCTTGAAATACAGGAAGTAGGAGTGTACGCTGTAAATTCCCCCCTTGATTGGGAATACAAATGATCAAATGTACGAGGGCTAGGAACGTATGGGTACACGGTGTCAGCAAAGTAGCGCGAGGCAGAGAGGAGGAGAATAGAAGGAATTAGGCTGTGATGTGAGAGGGAGCATCTGAAAATAAAGATGTAAGCTGCATTGTAGCACCTCACCTTGAATACGTGGCACAGAAAGAATAATACATGAAAAAAAAAAAATCTTCTGTCATTGGTTTGAGATCAATTGGCGGGATCAAAAAAAAAAAAAAAGACTGATTCAGTCATACGCTGTTTGTTTTCAGAATTAACAGAAGCCTAATTTGCTATTCTTGGATACTTTTAATGACTAGCGAGGTAAACAGCTCCACCAACCAAAAGCCAATTATAACTTTATCAGCACAATCGCTGCTCGGAAGAACTGTGGATCTCAGAAAAGGAAACAAAAATACCTTGATCTTTCAGGGAAAAACTACTTCTTCTTTTTTTTTTTTTTTTTTTAATCGACTATTCCTTTTCAGTGTGCTTGTCAACACATTGATTTTACTGACACCAGCATAGTCTCCTGGAGATTAACATTAACGTATAAAACTATGGAAACTTTCCCAAAATATGCGAAATACCGCCAAGACGCAATACGCCGAATTTAAAAATAATGAAAGCTTATGTTTGTCTGTATCTGCCGACAGTATCACAGTGTTTATTTAAAATAACAGCCAGAACAAAATAAAAATACATACACTCAAAGAAGAAAGAAGCTTCTTGATGTGCAAAGAAAACCAAAAACACTGAGTAAAATAGGAAACCGACATCCAATAAATATTATGTATGTGGTAAAAAAAAGGATTACAATAACTGTAAAATAAATACATGAAGAAGATTGATGGCATTAATTTATTTTCAGGACAAATCCCGAACAAAACACAATTAACGTTGGACCTTTGATTCATGTGACATTTCCTATTTAAAAAAAAAAAGAAAACGTCAAAAGTGACTCTGGAAAGATTGCGGCATCCCTTTTCTGACCCGCTACTAATTACTCTCTCATACAGATCTTTCCTTCTTTTGCTAAACGGAACCGCTACTGGCGTGGTAGCATTTGTAATTGTCAATAAATCTAAAATATTATGTGTGAAATTGCGGGGAGAGCCCGTTAAGGGGCGGGCGCTGGTGCGAGCTGGAGTAGGGGTCCTGTCTGGAAGAGGGCGGCTAATTCAGGACAACTGTGAACTCTGAACCCGCTAAAAGCACGGCCACTGGTCAGACGAGCCACGTAATGGAGTCCACATGTGCTCGCAGTCTGCGTTGCCGTAATTAGATGGATCTCTAAAGGTTTGCTTAAATCAACATCAGAGTGCTTTGTTTTCCCTCTTAGCTCGACTTGAAATACGCAGAAAAACTGCCCGTGGCCTTTACCTTTTAATCCACTTCATGCCTTATATATTGGCGCAAAGTGATGCTTGTCTTTTAAAGCGAGAATAATCATTACTTGGTGGGTCTCAGGGCTTCGGTTTCACACTGAATAAAGCCTGAGCGTTAAGTATCCGGTGCTACGGCGAGAATTAGAGAGAAACGAAGAGCGGCTGTAGCATCTCAGAAACAATGCGCGGCAGCTCAGCCCAGGCAGGCAGAGAATTGCTCAGCATTAATCAAGATTTCAGACCTCAGCTCGACAAACGGCACAATGCCTCAAACATCTTCTCGCGTGTAAACACAAACATCAAATGCCATGTGGCACGTCCTCATCACTAACAAGCAAACTAACAAGAGACCTGGAATTCCACTCAATTAGTACCTGCTTGCTTTGTTATTAATCTGCTAGCCTCTGTGAAAAAGATAAGAGGAGACGGGAGGAGAAAAAAAATATGAATAGGAATAAAAACAACAACAACAATTTGTTACAATAAATATATTAATGCCAGTGAAGTTTCCGTTTCAGGTGGTGTAATTTGACATGATATGCAGGCTATGTTCTGTCATTAGTCAGGAAAAATGGTGAGTAGGGGATCAAAGCAAAAAGGCTCTGAGCCTGCCACTTAATTTATCACACAGCAAAGACAAAGGCTTTTCTCTCTGCTTCTGTCGCTTTTCAAAAGCCCTGACTCTTTTTTATGACAAACTCAGTTTGCAATTTAATTTAGGGCTTCAGTCCCTAGGTGCAGAAAAGCAAGCAGGCAGGAAGTGAGAAGAAGGTTCTGCAGCCAGACAGGCGAGCAGGCAAAGCATGAGAAGCAAACAGCGGGAGCACCAAACGTCCAGGCTGGTGGGAAGAGCTGCGAGAGAGAGACAAGAAGGCAGACAGGTGCCATGAAACTCGAGCAGTCAGGCAAGCAATGATGCAGGCAGGCAGGCAAACCGGCTCCAAAGTTGGCAGGAAATGGTCTAAACTGTACAAAAGATGGTACTATCGCACACAGCACAGAGGAATTATATACACTTGCAGTCATCGCAGGCTGATCAGCGCTAAATCAGGAGAACCAGAGAAGTGTGGGAGTGCGAGCAGGTCGGCAGTCTGCTGGGCAGTGGATTGAATTATGTACTGCTGGCGGGGCAGGAGTCCGGTAGGCGGTGGAACCTGAGTATATAGTGTTAGCAGCGTGGGTAATAGTGCGTCCACAGCCTCAGCGGGGCCTCGGTGCCTCACAGAGGAGCTTTAATACACACACCGTGAAGAATAGCTAAACAAACAGATTCCTGCTTCGACAAAGACAGGGAAGACATCCATGTGTGTTGTTCTCTGTGTTTGTGGGGGGGTGTGTGTGTGTGTAAATGTGTGAGTGACCCTGACGCCATGGTGATGCTTCCTGTAGCACTGACCGGCGTCAGTGCTCCATTAATTAAAGAGACGATGTGCTGGCAGGTGGCTTCACTGCCCACACTGGTAATTGGCCCCTTTCTTCCCACTCTCTCCCCCTACAAAATCACCCATCTCTGCCTTTTCTTTTCTTTTCTCTGCCTTGTTCCCTCCTCCTATCTCTCATCTCAGAAACGTGCCAGTGGGCAGGCAGAAATGCAAGACTTTGTGAAATAATGATTAGAATGGATGGAGATGAAGGGAAGGGAGTTTCACATTTTCCCACAAGCCTCTGATGGTCGGGGAATGCTGTTTGCCTTCAAGCGTCATACGACGCGACGGGAGTTTACTTTAGACAGCCACAATCTGAGGAGCCAGTACTGCAGTCATTAATGATGTGGGGAGGGGACAGAGCTATACTTTGACAAGTTTCTGGATGTGCATGTGTTTTTTTTTTTCTGTGTGTGTGTGTGTGTGTGTGTGTGTTCTTTTTTCTGTGTGTGTGTTTGTGTGTGTGTACAAATGTGAGATTATGTTGGAGGACAAGACTGTGTGTTTATCCAAGTGAGGCTCGATGTGAAAAAGGAAAAATTAACCTTGTGTGTGTTATGTGTAATGAGGGGGAAAAAAAGCATTAGAAGCTCTGAAAAGTGTGTGTGTGTGTGTATGTGTGTGTGTGTGTGTGTGTGTGTGTGTGTGTGTCTCACCACGTCACTGGGCAGGTTGTGCAGGTCATCAAAGGGACTCTCCAGGGTGTTTGTGTCCACATTGAGAATGACCACGTCCTCCAGCGAGCGGCTGCGTACTCTCTGAAGAGGAAACGTAAAGCGATATCAAAGCTGGACACACAGACACTGAAAACTATTCTGACCACCATCTGAAAATACTGCAGGAGCATAAACATGTCCAACACAGGCAGAAGCTCTTATATTAAAAATAACAAATTTAAAACAGTGTTTCTGTGTAATCAATGAGCTGATTCTTAATTAAAATGTGAACAATTTTTACAGAATTGTTTTTTTTATCAGCACAAAGCAATTCATTATTTTTTCCATTTTAGAATCATTATCACACTGGTAGATTTTTTATGTGTGTATTTAGTGTTTTTAAATATAATGAAGACTCAAGAAATATCACTTGTTTAATTATTAAATAATGAACTGGAGCTTGGCGTCTATAGTTGGGCCCAGGTGTGTTTCCCTGGAGACAAAGTCATTTCTCTCCTGAAGCGTCAGGAACCAGAAAATGCAGCAGTCACATGTAAAGCCACGCTGTTATCACACTCCTTTACGATTAAGGATGAAAAATGGCGTGTAGGAAAAAAAAAATTAGAACATCTTTACTGTAACACACACAGACACGCGCTCGCAAAATGAAGAATGGCACCGAGAGGAAGCATTTGGACTGCGCAAACATTTTCCACCACAGCACCAAAACCTCATGCATCAACAACAACACGGCGATGCTGTGCTGTGCTCTGTGCATCCTGATGGCGACAAATTCAACAATTATTTCAGTGTGGTGCAGGATGCAGGCAGGTGTGGGGGGGGTGGGGGAGAGGAGGCAGCATAGTGTGTGAATTTCTAGTTTGTCACTTTTGTGACAGCCTGTGCAGTGGAGGCTCACATGCTGATCTGGACTAATTATGTAGTGGCGGAAAGAAGGTCTGTCACGGATGCAGAGTGTGATAAATACTGCCACTGCCGCAACTGTCAGACAAATATCACACACACACACACACACACACGCACACACAAACACACATGTGCATTACAACATATGCATTTGCACACGCCTGCGCACACACACACACACACACACACTCTCTCACATACTAACACTTACACACAAGTGCAAATGTGTGCGTTCCTGTGACATGCATTCACACACAACAGCAGTGCTGGTGATGGGTTGCCCCCCAACCAACACAAGGTTTAACAAGGAAGTAGAAAAGCTCTTTGTCTGCAGATGCTTTTCCTGGCTTTCTCTGCCTCTTTTGTACTTCTGGTTAAGTATGCACACAAGCAATAGACGGAGTTAAAGAGGAAAAAATTACATTCACTTTGTGTCTGGGTTAAAAAAAAAAAAAAAAAACTCCTGAAATTCTTTTTTTTAAATCAAGACCACAATTCACCAAACCAGGTGCAGCACTAGCTGACCACATACACAGAGGATAAATATGCAGCAGCACCTTCACTTTAATGCAAAGTATGTGAACTAAATGTTTATACATAAAAATCTAATATATAATATAAGTTTGATGCAAATTAGGAAACATCAACATTTAACTTTTCATATGAAGAATTTGCACGTATACATCAGTTTGCAGCAATATACACATACATATATATAATTATACACATTCATGATGTACATTTATATGCATATAAGTACCGACACAACATACCTCGAGCAGACTAAGATGAACTCCCACAAAGTATGGCATGGGGGCACTGTGGATGGAGAGAACAACACAAAGCTGTCAGTAATGTCAGCACCACATGGCTACATGCTGTAAATAAATATGTATGAAGGCTACTTTAACGCTGACGTATGCTTTGAATAACTGAGTTGTCCATCTACAGAAATGTTTTTCACAACTATCTCGGCATTTGGATCTTTCACATTATTTATCGAATGCAAACTACCAAAAAACACAGATTCTTAAATGTGAGGATTTTTTTCTGTGTTTGCAAACTGAATTGTTTAGACCTTAAAAAATTTAAATTTCACAGAAAAATTATAAAGAAAAGACAAACATACTAATTGGATAATTTAAAATAATTATGTCACTAAATGTAAAAATAATAAAAAGCTTAGACTATTAGAAATTATACAGCTGGAAATGACTCAGATACACACTGCTAATACAGAAAACAAACAGAAGTGTGCATTTACATTCAGCTGTGCATGATTTAAACATCCATATGTTGTAGTTCAAAATTATTTTTCCAACAAGTCCCAAGACTGGGAAACATTAGATCAGCTGATGTGTGCAGCAGGACAGGCGCACTGAGCTGGTGCTGCTGGACTCATTTTTAAAACCAGGTACAAATGTGAACAAATGTGTTCTTCCCTTTTTCTTGCCTCTAAGGAGCAGTTTCACTGACGCTGATTTTGGCCTAAAAAAGAGCTCAAATAAACCGAGATTTGGGGTAATTTTATCCACCAGACAGACGGGTGAGTGATACACCTCGAATGCTAATTCTAAAACTGTAATGTCACTTTAATAATAATTGTATAATATAGTCACAGTTGAGGCTTAAAGACAAGTCGGATTGGGGTTTTGTTTCCCAAGATTTGTAATCTGTGATTCTCCTGGTAGATTTAGAAAGTAATAAAATGCTTGGAACGGTTTCTAGAGAGCTAAAGAGGTAAAGTGTCAGAAGTTTTCTTTTTACTCTGTCTTGCAGGGTTATTATCATGTCATTCTTATTTTATGTGATATTTATCTTCATTTCAAAAGTCAGTGGCAAGGAAAGATTGAATCATACCGCGTTTCCCATCCAGCAAGATGAATAAAATCAACAAAAACAGTCAAATAATAGAAACCATTTTTATGGTGAGGTTTACAGAGGCAGTAATAATCGCATAGTTTAGGGTCAGTGTATTCCTGACCAGAATGATTCAGAAGCCACAGGCTTGTAATCAACTTAAAGCAACAGAAAAACAAACAGCAGGCCTGTAGCTGTGCACTGGAGCTGCTGTACGCTCTGTTTTATGAATGTACAGCACTGAATTTCATCATCATTTACACGTTTATACATGCACATAGAGCACACACCAGCACGCGAGACAACTCAGATGTGCTGCACGCACGCACGCTTACAGTGCATCTAATATAATTTAGTTATCTAATCGGTGCATGGAGGACACCCCTGTGATTAAATTAGATAATGATGAGTCTTCGCAGAGTGTTGAAAATCACATTTCACTGTCAGTGATGAAGAGCTCCTTACAGCTGATGTGTCCCTCATGGTGAAGCGCTGTGCTGTCGGAGCTTTCTGCACTGATTCAACTAAAAAACTGCTCCTTTTACATAAGCTGACTTCCCCACTGTGTGTGTGTGTGTTTTTTTTTTTTTTCTTTTTCTTTAAATGTACAGATCTAAAGTTTAACCTGAACGCATGTAGATTTGCAGATGAGCTGCTACTTCTGCTCTCCATTCAGTTTCAATCAAGTCCATTCAGATTTGTTGGATTTGCGTCGGATGGCTGGTAATGAACCCCTGAGAGAGCCGAGATGATGAGAGCGTGGTGCTAGTACTGGCATGAAATATGGAGCAAGGTGATCGGGGCTGTTCATTACGCCGAGGAGCCGCACAAGAGAAGGCGCGCCACGAGAGGACTCGCAGGAACACGGAGGACGGGTGGGAGAATGTGTGAACATGTGTGGCTGCACTTTTACACAAAGGTTTTAGTGGCACAGCTTGGTGCATAACCGGCACACATGGCGTGGTGTGTGTTTACATGTCTGCATGTCAGGCCTCTGTGTGTGTGTGTGTGTGTGTGTGTGTGTGTGTGTGTGTGTGTGTGTGAGTGTGTGTGTGTATTCGGAGGTGGCTGGAAAATGAGAGAAAGTGACAGCAGAGAAAATGGGAGAGGAGGGGTATATAAACACTCGTTATGATGATTATTGATGGCGCTCGTGTGTGTGTGTGTGTGTGTGTGTGTGCTTCAGAGGTGGTCAGCCTTACCAGCAGTAGTCCAGAAGATGCGGGGGCAGCACGGGGATGAAGATGTGCTGCCAGTACATCGGAAAGAGCAAAGCAGCTGCACCGTGGACGCATGCAGTTAACTACGCAGACAGAGGACGAGATGAGAGGCCAAGTCAACACAACTTTCCACAACAACACAAAAACTGAGCAAACTGAAGGCAAAACAAAACCCCTCTATGCTCAAAGTTTGTTTGATTTCAATCAAGAAGTGTCCCCAAGATAGAACTGCAACAAGTTGAGAAACATACATAATGCAGTTTGGCTCAACACGCTGCTCTTCCTTTTGTTCTCGTTGCCATTAAACGTCTCATTTAACTGTGTTTCTGTGCTGCCAGACGATACAGAACTACAGTTTTGCTTCCAAACAATATCCTGTTCAATAAAAAAATAAAAGTCCTGACAAGCTTCCTGCTCTGCCGATGCTTTGTGTCGACGTGTCGAAGTCCTACTTGTTTGATTCCATCCAGTTATCATTGCCAAACATGCAATTAGCCTTTTTTTTCTCTAACTCACAAGCTAAAGCTATACAAAGAACATTTTACGCCAACATGTCGAGTGCTGCGGTTGTGATGAACACATGACCTGCGAGCTATTGTTGGAGGAAGAGAAGAGCAAGCTGAAAGCTGAGGATCAAGCAGCTGACAGAAGCTTGTCTTCAACCTCGTGACAGAGAAACTACAGAGGAGGGGAAAAAAAAAACGTTGACGTGAAGAGAAAACTATTGAAAAGATTGACCTAAAGAAAGGTAGCGCTTGCTTTACACGCAGAGAGCACGCATGCAGCGTTGATTTATTTGTCGTGGGGTCGATGCAGAGGATGTATTGCCACTATTGCGTGTGATGTTGCGAAATTTAACCATGAAATAATTCCAAACACCGACTCCGACGAGTTGTGAACATAGAAATGTGAGGAAATACAAACTCAGAGTTCATAATTAACTGCTTTTTAAATCAATGTCAGTAAGTAGGGATTGTGCTGTGACCTGCACAAACGCAACAAAAGAAGGCCAAAACAGCACTGACAGTCGCCATAAAAATCAAAATTACCCCAGCCACTGTGACTGAGGAATTAAAGGCAAAACTATGGAATAATTAACCTCTTTTTTTAACAAATAATGAGAAGCAATCACGTGAAGATGACATTGCTTTTCAAAGACGCTTTTTACATTGTCAAGCCGATATTACACACAGAATTAAAGTCATTGTCTTGCATTGTCTTAAAGCGAGCATCCCCCTCTTGACATCCCATCTCATGAAAACCCAGCTATAGTAATGACCTGCCGCGCACACACACACACACACACACGCACACACACACACACACACACACACGCAGACACACACAGACACAGCAGGAGAAAGAGGCGTTAGCTCATCCCCCAGATTAAAATAACATGATTAAATATGGAAAGAGAACAGAGGTCTGAGGGGCTCCTGCGGGACTTCATTAGGGCAAATTGCCAAAGAATGAAACATGAGTTAGCCAAGAGAGACTGCGGGCTAGGCCAATACCGCCGGGACCCCGGAGCAGCAGCCGCTGTTATACTGCTGCAGCTTCACAGTCAATGTGTGAAGCGGACACACACTATCACACACACACGCACAACTACCAGGAGACCCCCTGCTCACTGACACACACAGTGTCACAATTGACCGGCCAAAAGCGGGTGAGCTTGGCGGCTGAAAACCACCGCTGAAAGGAAAAAGAGGGCCCCACCCCTCTGAATCCACCCAAAGATCAAGCCTGGACATCTGAAAAAGCTCACAACAAAAAGTGTGTGTGTGTGTGTGTGTGTGTTTGTTTGTGTGCATGTGCCTCCCTCCTTGCATGTTTGTTTTAACTGCATTCATTTTTCATATCGGCCAGTAAAAAAAGAAAAAAAAGAAAAAAGAAATGATCTTTTTTTATTGTCTCTGTGCAATCTTTCATACACCCAGTCCCACAATAGTTAGGACTTAATCAACATTTAATTGGTGTCTTGCTCTGTGTATCTGCATATGCATATTTCTGCTGCCTGCTGTCTTCAAATAAAACACAACAATGCCACGCTCCTGTCAGGATTAATTCCCTGGCAAACAGTTTGTTTTTTTGTTAATTCTGAAAATAAATCAATGCTATGAATATTAATGTGTGAAAGTGAAGCACTTGGTGGAAAAGCGACTATCAGAACCATCACACCCTTCTCCCCGTTCCAAAGCCATGATGGTAAGGGGCCATTAAATCGTGATGAAGAGAGGTCACCCATCTGACTGTGCTTAAACATACACACATATGTAGACGTGTCACGCGTGTGCGCGCGAAGACACACACACTAAGTGGAGAGCCAACAGGCTAGTGTATTCCTCCTCTGGGAGTGCGAGACAAGCCCCAGCCATTCGCTGGTACCAGGAGGTAATGGCACAGAACACCTCGCTAACCAACTCCAATTATCTCCACCAGGCCTCAAGGTGAGCCCCCCAACTGGCATGATTTACTCTCAGTTTGAAAGCGAAAACAGGAGTCTCTCTGCTTCTCTTCTGCTCGGGCTGGGTGGCTGGCTTGGGGGAGTTGGCTGAGAAGGGAGTCTGAAACTAAGATAATGATTTATAAAGCAAATCTAGATTTCAGTTTTCTTTTATTTGCTATCTCCAAAGCGGTGGAGGTGGCAGTGTGCCTTAGATAAGGTAACTTGGAGGGAACTCCAGAGGAATAGTTCACATATTTCCTTCTCTGCAAATCCCTGCGTCCTTGTCCAGGTTTTAGAACAAATGAGGCAAAAAGTAAAAGGAAGATAAATTGGGGAAAAAAAAGAAATCATACCCCTCTTTTTTTCTTCATTTAGAGGGGGGGCTTCACATGAGAGTGGGTCATGAGAGGCTAAGGCTGATAAAATATTTGCCAGGCTGATAAATAATAGATGAGTGGAGCCAAATGGCTTACACGCTCCACAAAAGACCTGGGTGCTTAATATTCCATTCAATGGAGAATCACAGATACAGTCCCCAAGAACAAATACAGGATTAGGTGCTGGGTCCAGTCCTCAGGGACCAGGGCTCTGCCCGGTAATGAGGGGCTGCCTGCCTCTGTAGGTGTGTGTGTGTGTGTGTGTGTGTGTGTGTGTGTGTGTGTGTGTGTGTGTGTGTGTGTGTGTGTGTGTGTGTGTTGCCCCTTCCTCTGAGAGAAGCTAACCGATTATACAGCGACAGCCTGCTTCAAAAAGCAGTCAAGGTCTTTGGTTCTGCCCTGAGAGCTTTTTAGTGTGCTGTAGCTGAGACAGAAAGTGTCCACACGAACACTGGTTCTCCCAGATCCATTCAATGAGACTAAAGGAAGGACAGACAGAAAAGAGAGAGACAAAGAGACGTGAAGAGAGACGGAGGGGAGGAGGTGAAGGTTGGAGAAGAACCTAGAATAAAGTGAAGAGATAAATTTTGCACTACAGCTTTGAAGAGGGTGGCACCAAACCTCGGCCAGGAGGTCACACAGCAGTCTGGTCAACACTGTGGCCTGAGTGTGACTCACTTGCTGTGTGCTTCTTCATACTGCACGGTAATACGAGTGTAGGCCAAGTACAACAAACTAAACAGATCTTAGAATAGTGTTTTTTACAGTTAGTATTATAAAACCTAATGTGTATTTCAGGTATTAGCAGGAGATGATACGATGTGTGCTACTAAAGATAAACTAAAACTTGTCAGTGTCGCTACCAATCAAAAAAGTGCTTTTTAAACATTCAATCATACTTTGTTTTCCCCCGCTGTCCTCACAAAGTTGTGTTACCACCCTCCACAAGTGTTTTTCAGATTTTCCAGCTCTGAGTAGCTCCCGCCCTTTCCTTGGTGCTGGACAGTAATGAGAAAAAGTGTTGTTGCTGCATGCACACGTAGCAGCGGCACTGTTGCAGTGCAGAAACGCTACATGCTTAAACCTGGCTTAGCATTAGTATGGACGTGATACAGATTTTAACTGAGGTGGAGAATGGTGACGTACTGATTAGCAGAATTAACAATAATGTGCACAACTTCTCCAACATAAAACTCCATATTCATGCATCTTCAGATGAACCTGTCCCTCTGCATACCTGAACAGCAACATAAAACTTGAACTGTGATGTTTGAACCCACCAAGTCTGAGCAGTAAACGGTGTTCATCATGACTCCTCACCTGAGCAACATGAGAAACATCCACTACATTTTACATACTAAGGGGCTTATGGTGAATGAGCCCTTCTACCAGTATTACATGGTGCTCTAACATGAAGAAAAATATCGCACATATTAAGCCATAGTTGCTAAAAACCAGCTGCTGCATTCAATTTGACAGGAGGAATGGCATCTTGACCTCCTCACACCGGCCTTAAACGCTTCCTTTCCAACTGCATCCCTACGCGCTCTCCAAAAAATCCTCTCCTCTCCTTTCCCAGACTCATTTTCATCCCAAGTCTCCATTACTTATTCCTCCTCTCCTCCTGCCGTCCTTCTGTCCGTCGCCACCTCTCCCTCATTTCTCCTGTTGTTGTGTTGCCGTGTTACCCTATCCCTCGTCCCTGCCGTGCACCGAGTAAGTCGCCAATTACCCACGCGCCGCTTTTCCCTGTGTTGACAAACACCGGTGTCAGGCCCACTACAAACCACAAACAGGTAGGAAGCACACGGGGGGAGAGAGAGAGAGGGAGAGGGAGAGAGAGCGAGGGCACAACACAGGTAACAGCTAATGCCAGGCCTCCCACTCACACACAGACATAAGGCATAAGGTACAAACACCTGTGAGTGCAGACGACACACACAAACAGATGCATGTAAAAAAAAAAAAAGAAGAAGAAGACACAAACACCCACTGCATGCCCATGCGCAGCGACACAACACACACCTTAAGACACATGGCATGGGGCAGAGATAAGTCTATTGAGGACAAGCGGGAGAAGGTGGTGAAGAAGGAGGGAGGAGGAGGAGGAGGAGGAGGCGCTGGGGGAGGAGGGGGAGGAGAGGGAGGAGAGGATGTCCTGATGTTCTGCAGTTGCCCAACAACAGAGAGACACATTAAGACTCCCAGGAAGAGGGAGGCGAAGTCGGAGAGAAAAGAGAGGTGTAGCCAGAGAGAATGAGAGACAGATGGACAGAAAATAATATGTCAGAGAGAAGGAATAGCAAAGATAGAGAGAGGAGAGAGAGGCAGAGAGGAGTCGGGCAACGAGAGAAAGAGGAACAACAGAGGAAAAGGCTGGAAACAGAGAGACAGCTGGCACTCTAGGGCACGGTGGATGGATAGCTCCTTGTTAGCATAGGCCTGACAGGCTGATGAGAGGGCTGCTGTCAGCCGGTGCTGGGGCCGGGCTGTGTGAGTTTGGGCGATAGGCAGGGCAGAGGCTGGGCTCGAGAGCTGGGGGGCCTCGGCAGATGAAAGACACAGGGGGTGGTGGGGCGATGGTGCTGGTGGTGGGGGTCCTCCCAACTGACTAGTTAGAGGAAGGGCCGATGCAGCCCTATTATACGGGCCTATGACAAGGCTGCACGCACGGCTGGCTCCCGCCCCTGCGCCACCGCCGACCGGCTTTTTAAAACAGTGGTACCATTCACCTCTGGTCACGAAACAGCAATAAGTCAACTGACGCATTGTTGTAAGATCATGATTTATTCCTTTGCTTTTGGCTGCTTGCGAGACACGGAAGCCATGTACCGACAGACTGACACGCTGGGTTCACCGGGGGCTTTAACACAGGCAGCACCTAGAGCAGGCAGAATAAATGCAGTATATCTATGTGTGTGTGTGTGTGTGTGTCGGGGTGTGTGTGTGTGTCTCTTTCCTCTTTCTATTCCCTGTTTCTCTCTGCTTGGCTGAGATGCTGGACAGGCGGAGGTGGTGGAAAGCAGCTGGATGGTACTAACGATGTTACTAACAATACCCTCTCTCATACATCTATCCGCAGAAAGCAGACTATAGAAATATTACCTGTCCATCCAGTGACTGCCAACGCTCACGTTAACAAACATTTTTGACAAACGCTGACATAAATTACACGTCTCACATCCTTTAAGATATTTGATCACAAGACAGTGGTGTGGATAATGAGTGGGGGCTGCTCGCAGTTAAGCATGTACACACTCAGATAGCTGAATTCAAGAATCATGGCAGCCATTTTCACTTGAACCAGGAGGTCAATCTACCCAACAGCAAAAAATAACGCATCACAGGAGCAGTAATAACACTAGGCCTGCTAGTAATCCCAGCGGAGATGTGAAAATACCTTTGTACTACAGTGCCTGACATATATCGCTACCAAACCAAAACACCTCTCCCTGAGGAAGACGGATGGATAGCTGAGTGGATGAAGAATTGCAGAGGATAAAAGGCTTACAGAAGGTAAAGGTCTGACGTGGAGGCTCTTAAAATATCCTGTCGGCATATATTTGTTATAAAAACAAGCCCAGATTTGTTTTCGAGCTGCAGAAAACTGTAAATCACAGACAAAAAAAAAAAAAAAAGCCTCCACCACCTCTTCCTTGTAAAAAGAAAAATACCCTCACCCTTGCGTCTGATAATTTACATCGTGTACCGCTTGTGTCACGGCGCCGTGTGCTGCCTAGACCCCGAGCAGAGGTCTGAGGAGCCGAGGGGAGACAGGTGAAATTCTCTGAGGGCTGGGTAATTTTTACAGCTCCTCCCGATTATAGCTCCTGAGGGAGACCTTGGGAGCCGTCTCCCCTCCACCACCACCACCACCACCACCCAGCACCCAGCTCCACCGCGGGCCCCTCCGGCTGTTAAGTGTTCTGCAGACGAGCAGATAGCACAGCAGGACCAGCTACACCACAGACACAGATAGGACGTGGATGACATCACTTCCCTCTCCCATCTCATCTGTCATAAACACTTGGCTCTGCCTCATCAGCTGCACAGATAACGGCGGGAGGACGGGATGAGGAACAGAGGGAGGGAGGACGACTGAGATTTCCTCCCTCGTACAGACAGACAGACAGAAGTGGCTTTAAATCATGCGAGAGAGTTAAGACATGTAATAACGGATAATTTAAGGCTTTTGGGGGCATTAATATGTTGCCTTTATAGGACAAACAGTCACAAATAATCCAGCTTAGGGTGGATTTTGCAACTTGTCAGAGCTCGGTGACGGGGCAGCTTTCTCTGTAGCCATGTCACATGAACGCTCTCAGAATTTAGGGTTTGATATCCTGCTGGAATACCGATGAACGGACTCATGTTCAATCTCAGGAGCCACGCTTGGATACTTGGGCCAGCTGTGGCTCAGGTGGTAGAGCGGGTTGTCCACCAATCGCAAGGTTCGATCCCCGCCCCTCCACAGCCGAAGTGTCCTTGGGCAAGACACTGAACCCGAAGTTGGTCCCGATGGCAGGCAGCACCTTGCATGGCAGCTCTGTCGCCATTGGTGTATGAATGTGAGTGTGAATGGGTGAATGAGAAACACACTGTAAAGCGCTTTGGATAAAAAAAAAAACCCTTATTGGGGGGTTAATTTTGTCATGTGAAATCATAAAGAACAAACAGCATTTCTATCATAATCTGATTTACATCATCGCCAACAGCAGCATCACGACAGACACGTTCCCCTCAAGTCCAATTAAATGTTCAAAACCAACACGTACACAAGCATCCCAACTGTTTTTTAAACTTATTTTCAGCCTGCGCCTGACAAGTCAGACGCAGTAACTGACTGCGGCGGAGACGATGACTTGTCGGGAGTGGACTCACAGTGCTAAGCTTGCTTGAGGTAATGATGATGCGCCGTTCGTGCAGCATGCTGGCGTAGAGCTGGAGCATGTTGTTGATGTCCACAGCCACAAAGTACTCTGTCAGGTTCCTCTGGAGATAGACAGGAACAGAAGGATTTTCAGGTATATAACAAACTGTCCTTGCACAACTTGCTTGCAGTAAAGTGTCAACGCTACAGACTGAGAGTGCCACAGAGTGCCACAGAGAGACACACAGTGCTGACTGAAAAAGGACTTCCATCTTTGCAAAAGAATTGTTTTTGCAGTGGTAAAAAAAAATGGATGAGCATTACGAATTTAAACTACATTCACGCATTTGATCCTTCAAACGTCTTTAGACAATAGATGAATCCGTGTAAAACTGCTGATTGTTTTCATCTGTTGTCCCTCCTCGCCATAAAGATTTGAGCTAAGATTTGAATATCAACAAAGAACATGTGCTCGGTTTGGATCTTCTAATACCCATGCCAATCATTGAACTTCGACATTAAAAGTACGAGCACCACAGGAGATAACACCGAAACAAGAGCATGATGCAATAATTTCAAACGGTGACAAGTGTATTTGATTAAAAACGATTAGAGGCAGAGATGTTTCCAGAACAGAGGGATTTCTCTTTATCTCCTTCTGTGTCTTTTTCTTGTCTTCTTTTTTTCCGTGAATACTTACACTCTCAGGGATAGTTGGCAGTCCATTGATATCCGGGGCGATGAAGTAGGAGTGCTGCAAAAACACAAACATACAGGAGAGAGAAGAGGGAAGGTCACAAGTGAAGCATACCACTCACACAGAGAGAATGAGGGGAAGAGGGGAGAAAAAGGCCGTTCACTTTGTTCTATGATTTATGGCTCATCTTCAGCTCTGTCTATATGAATTGCTGAGCTGGTGTCTGAACTGTGGCAATGCTTTTATCAGGCCTACAGAACAGAGAAAGCTCAATAGCAGCTCAGCTCCCCATAGACACAGACTGGGGTGATGTCTCCGGTGGAAAACGGAGTCTTTATTTAAGCATTAAAAAGGCTTGTGGAGCACCAACACACACACTCTCTCTCTCTCACACACACAAGTATACATGCACGTGTGCTCATCCACACACTCGCACACACTCTCTCACACACACACACTGGTTGTTTAGAGGATCACAGGGCTGCCTGTCTCACTTTGGGAGAGCAGGGCAGGTTCAGTGTTCAGATCAAAGGGGCCTGAGAGAGGTGCTGTTTGGAGGTAGACAAACCACCAAGTGAAACACACTATTGTGTCTCTCACACACACTCTCCTGTATCCTAAGTACACCTGCGTTTCTCTAGGCCTTCGCTCAACCATCTGTTGCAGGTCTCGTTTAAATCCGCTGTAGCACAGACTGTCACAGAAGTTAAAATTTATTTGCGCTTCTGTGAATTCAACGTCGTGACAAATCGCCCAATAAAATTCATATCATTAAGTTCTAATCATGTCGGGCTAATACCGTAGTCAGCGTTTCCTCTAATAGCCGAGAATTTATTTGAGTTGTGGCCGCCGTGGCAGGAAGATTGACATCCAGCACCGGAGAGTCGGTTGTAAAACGGCGCCGCATTAAAGACTTACTGTAAGACTGATTAGGAAACAACCTGCACTCTGAAAGGAGGAAACAATAAAGAGGACAAATGAGATCAGCTAAATAAACGATGACATTAATGAAAAAACAACTGAACATGAAGAAAATGGTTAAAATCATGCAAACATGAAAAGAGCCATTCAGAACCAGCACCGCAGTGGAAACATCAGCACCACCAGGAACACGTCTCTGATTAGAGACATGAGACCAGACAGGAGCTCAAACCCATGCAGGACAGGATAGACATCAGTTCACAGCAATGGAAAAATGTAAGATATGCATTGTTTTTTAACTTGAGCTCATTCTAGTGAACAACATGTTGCTGGTCAATACTGTCTGTTAAGTTTTACCACATCTTACATTCAGTCAGCAGTGGAAAGTTTCTACCAAATACTAACAATCCCATAAACAGGAGTGAAAAGATTTAATTCCTTAAGTGACAGCGTTTGAGCAAATAACACGCTTTGAACAAACAAGGGCAGCACACGACAATTTCCTTGATTGGCACGCTGGAAAAGTCAGTGTCGTGTAAAACAAACGACATGTTTCGCTCCCTAAGTGCCTGTACGAGGTGTGAAAAATGTAAAAAAACACTTATCATGAGCAAACGATTTCGCTCTCAGAGGATGGTCATTGTCGTCGCTAAACAAACAAACATACACGGAACTGAAACCAACATCCAAGGCTTTACCTTCGAGGCTTATTTCCCGGGCAGAAGACACACGAGCGCCGCGATTCGTCGACTCCTACGCGTCCGTCTTTACGTTAAGTGAATACATTTACCGGTTTGAATTACTACAGCCAAATATTTAGTGCATAGTTACCGTTACTACGATATAACTACAAAAACAAATGAATTATAATTTTGATTTGACAGTTACAGAGATCCGAGGTTTCTTCTAATTTGGCTGCAACATTTGCACTAAAGAGGCAGAAAACCTCATGAATACGCATCCAGTGTGAGAAGTTGTTAGAAGTGACCAGAAGCTCTCTTCCCTGTTTAAAGCAACATCAGGCTTAAAATATAACTTCATGTTCGCAATAGGATTTGTTTTTATTTTTTTATTCAAAATACCAGCCAATTGTTTTACTGCAAGAAGAAGCACAACTCAACCCAAGTGTTTTGCTTTTTGGATGTTTATTTATTTATTTTTTGCTAATCATGGGCTTATTGTGATGAAAATCATTGCCGTGTGGTGACAAGTGTGAACTCTGACGTCCTAAAGCCCATGTTTGTCTTCTATTTAAAGAAATACTGCTGGTTGGTTTGTGGTTACGCCGTAGCTGAGCAGCATCGTATCGTTATACTATAAATAAATACATAAAAATAAGATTACTGCTACTACATAATTACATAAAATCATTACACTTAAATATTCACACATGATAGAAGACGGCGAGCTTATGTTGGTAATTAGCTGTCATAAAACACATTAAATAGCTGTACGTTAAATCAGCCTGCTGAGAGAAATCTGAGCTTTTCATAGTAAACTTGATGTATTTCTGCCTCCTTTCTAGAACATGCACTAAAGCTCCTTCCTGAAACATTTCTAGAAGTTTACTTTTATCTGGAAATGAATGAACATGGAGCCTCTCAGTGATCTTTAATGAACGACACGAGGAAAGGAAAACCTATCCAGCTAAAACAAAGACTAGCATTAGAGTAATTAAAATAAAATAACAGATAGATAAATAAACAGAGTGTGATAAAAGAGGTTGAGCACAACCATCCATAGCTGTGTACAGTAACTACAGTGTGGTGCATCTGTTTCTCTTCTCTTGTGCTAAATAATGTTTCCCTGTTGGTCTACAAATTCATGGCATTGTGATAATCACAAGCCGTGCTCCCTTAGTCAGCCCAGGCTTTCATTGGCTGTTTGCTTGCTTATCTGCTTTTTTCTTGTTCTTTCGAAGACTTGTTTATATAAAACCATTGAAAGTGGGTTAACTGGAAAGGCATCAAGGAGATTTTTTGAGCACAATTGCCTTTGCTTTAAACATAAAGAGAAGGGAGAGAAAAAAAAAAAAACAGAAAAAACTTTTGATATTCAGAGAGAGAATATAGCAGTGTGGAAGGGCATTAATCATTTACAAAGTTTGATTGTTTTCCAGAGGAGAAGAAACATACACCAAGGCCCAGGATAGTTTGTTTTTGTTATATTTAAAAAGATAGCGCAGCTTATTTGGCCAAATTGGAAATCCGTGGCTCCCATGCGATTAGTATAGCAGCAGTTTCATATTTCACAGCAGCAGCAGCAGCCTCCTTCCCTCCTCCTCCCTCCTCTGCCGCTCACTCATTCCCCTCCACTCACCGGCTCCTTGCTTCGCCGATCTCTCAGTACTTGCCCAGTGGCAATATACAACTGCTCATTCTTGCACAATGAGAGAGAGGAGAGAGGAGAGAGAGCAAAACAGGGTTCACACATGAAAGGGGACAATGATTCTTCTTCTTGGCTGCCATGATAAAACAAAAAACACTCTTTAAGGGCATAATTCTGCTTCATCAATTAAATATCAAACTAGTGGCTCCTCCAGAAGAGAGATGAAGCTATCACCTCTGTTCTCCAGGGCTTCTTTTCCAATGAAGCTCCCGGATTCAGATGAAAAGGTTTCGTTCACATATACAGCCGGTTAAAAAAAAAAAAAAAAAACTGACATAAAGGAAAAATAAATCACTCGGAATCTTAATTGACCTTGTTAACCTTCACAGAGATATATTGATTACCTCATATTAGTCTTGTTATGTTGTAAATTCATCTGTGTAATTAGATGTGTATCCTTCTGAGACCTTTTGCTGCAGAAACAGTTGCTTGTTTAATTGGTCCAACAAAAAAAAAAAAAAAAAAAAGGAAAGGAGCGGTGGTCCTCGAGGACAAAGGCTGACACTCTTTTGATCCCATTACTGTCTGGAGTCTCAACAACTTAAAAAAAAAAAACACACACATTGCGATATCAGTGAACAGAACACTACGAGCTTCGCGGGCCCAATGAAAACATCCCACTTAAACAGAACCGGGCTTATGGAAGCGGCAACCGCTGGAGTGTTTTATGTATGAGCCGGAGAGCAGAGATTGTGTCAGAGTTAACTCAAACACAGGCCGACTTTGAGGGACCTGGGCTCGTTAAGCCATTTCGGTTTTTTGATAAGCAGCAGACATGACGAGTTGTGAAAGGACCCTTCAAGTTTACACGTGTCCGGCTCGGACTTATCACACGGAAACCTGTTAGCGCCACTTCTTGTTTCCAAACACGGTGTCAGTCCTGGGCCCTCTCCGTCTCTCTGTTCCTGCCCGCTGTGTCTTAACCTCCTCCTGCTCTGTACTTTCTGTCTCCTCCGCAAATCCCTCATTTATCTTCTCCATCTCAACCTCTAGCCTTCGTCAGTCTCTCCCCGTCTCTGCCTGTCTGCCCCGTTTCCTCTCTGTTTTACGCCGATGCTGTGTCAATTTCACTTCTCTCTCATTATTCCTCCCTTTTAGTCTCAACTTTTTTTTGTTTTAAATTTCGTCTTCGGCGTCTCTAATTCTGCTTCAGCCAGCTGTTGTCGTCTCCTCTCCTTCTCGTCGCTCTCCTCCTTGAAGCAGCACACTGCTACAGTAACCTACCTGTCCCCTTTTTCCTTCTTTCTGTCTCTATCTCAGCTGTCTGCCTCTGACAAGTGGGAATATAAGATCTATACCTACCACACTCAGGTTGACTGGCGTGAAGGGCTTTGGCACGGGAAGATCATAGAGAGAATTCAGCATGTCATTCAAGTCATTTTCCTAGGGGAGAGAAACAAACAAAAGGGAGAGAAAAAAAAACAACATAAAAACACGGGACACATAAATTTTATTTACTTGTTTTTGTTGATGTCACAAGTTACGTGTCAATCCTAACAACAGCGCCGGGACGGGCGCTGCTGCAGACCAGAGGGCAATCCTGCAGCGAGGCCTGAAGGGCTCGGCAACATCCGACTGACATATGTTTAACGAGAAATGGTGAGGTTAAAAGACGGCTGAGCGTGGGGCTGCAGACGCTTATTATCCTGCAGCGTTGATTTACGGTTGGAGAGCGGGCTGTCAGTAATTAAGCAGGGGTCCCCAGTCCAAAGACAGGGGCTCTAGGAAGCCGTCGGAGAGCTGGTCTGACCACAGAACAGGCCCTGAGATTATTCTTCCAGCATTTATGAGCACTTCGACAAGAGTGCTGTTTACACACTGGGATCCGACAACCGAGGGGGGCAACTTAAACTAAACTACCGCGAACACGGAGGCTGGATATTGTTGTTAGTTTTAGCTTCTTATTCCGCCGCCCTCTCTAAGAACTTTTTTTATTCTGTGTTTTTTTCTGTGTGTACGTAGAGGGGGGAGAAAGAGAAGCAATGGGCGGTCATATACAGTAAAGAGAGGCCGGGTGGGAGGGAGGGAGGGAGGCAGGGAGGGAGGGGGTGTTAGGGTGTGTTCAATCGAACAGCCTCCTGTCATGAGAGGCTCAATGCTCACACGCATGGTCAGCAACACGGCCTGGGGAAACAGTTCATTTACCCCTCGCCTTAAACCCTCATCGCTCTTCTGTCTTCCCTCGTCTGTCAACATCTCCCTCTCGCCTGGAACGGACAGCGGGGTAAATAGAAACCAAATCATGCACACTAACACTTCAGTCACCCAGGATTTCCAGCTATCTTTCTGTCTCTCACACACACACACACACACACAGAAAACTGTTTGTTTTTCCTCTCCCCACATTAGATTATTCTGCTGCTTTCAATTGCAGAGTTTTGCATGTCGAATGTTTATGTGATGCGTTTGTGACTGTCTACTTTGGCGAGACACTTTGTCCTGATCACCGCTCTCTGAGGATGGTGGAAGAGGCAGCGACTACATGACAATTGAAAGTGGTCCCAGAGCTCCCTGCACATCTCCCCTGCTCTCTCCGTCTCCCCTCCTTCCTCCCCTCTCTGCAGTCTAAACAGTGGAACATCACCTACACCCTATGCACTAGACGCTGCACATCTCCCCAGTTTGTTGCATATTTTACATTTCCCCTCCCTTTTGCTCGTACAATGCAGTGAATAGTCAGGGGAAAAGACTTTTGTGAAGTGCGAGCGTTCCTGTGTGTGTTTGAGTGTGTATTTCTTTTTTTTTTTTTTTTTTTGTCTTAACGATTTGTTTTCCAGTAAATCATCAGGAATAACTTCCAGTGTCAGATCAGCGTTTGGTCTGTGAAATGTCAACACTGTTGCTGCTAACAACAGGAACCGAGTCGAGCCCAAGACGGCGAACAAAACTTGCGCACAAAAGACGACACGTGCGGCGCGCAGGGGAACAGGATGGAGGCAAATAGCTTCACCCACAATACAGTTACACAAACCGGGGGCTCCGTCGAATCACGCTCCAGCTTTTGTTTTTTGCACACGTTCACACGCGGCACCGTCTATTTAATTACAAATTACCTGTTGTTTTCCAAGGTAGTCTGCCAGCGTATTTAGCAGCTTGTAGTAGATTTCAAACCACGGAAGATAACTGCAAGAGAGAGAAACGAATTAATTCATTCATTTTATCATCATCTAGAAGAAACAAACAATCAAAGCAGATCATTTAAAACACAAGAACTCCAGAAAACTTTACTGCGCGCTGCAACTCTATCTTGGTGTCAGACCGTCTATAAATAATTTCCCCGCCTGACCTATTGCTTACAGATCAAATGGATGCAGGGCGCTGATAATGGATTCTGTTCCCAGTCGCACCTCCTCCAAAGCACAAAGTCACTGAGGAAAAGTAAATGCTATCTTGTCCCTATTATGACATTCTTTCATATCCGAGGCCCTCGCGTGCTACGAATTCCTGTCATGTCTGCTCTTTAAACAAATAGTAAGGGAGAGTAGAAGAAGAAGAAGAAACACAATGGATTTTAGATTCTTTAAGAAAGAAAAAAACACACACACCACAGCTTTCATGTGATGCGGAGGGATGCTATGGTTTACAAGCATGCTGCTCCCAGATGCACAGACTTAACAAAAATGCAGCTCAAGATGCCTCCTGCCTCCCCCCCCGCCTCCCCTCCTCTCCACCTCCTCCTCCTTCTGCCCCTGTCTCTGCTGCTTTTTTATGTCCTTCACATTTAAAAATAAATAAATAAAAAAAAATCTTAGCCTTATGTTATTAATGTAAGACAAAAAAGAAATCATTAACTAGCTCAAAATAATTTATACGGCCGTGTTTGTGTTAAAGCTAATCACTGAGCACACCCACCATAAGCTAAAAGCATCTGCAGCATGGCTTTCTTTACCAGGCTGACATATTCTTGGCCAAGTCAACTTGCTTTCTCGGTGGAAGATGGCCAACATTTTCTTTTGGCATAAAAGCTGTGAGGGCTCAGTTCATTTAATGTTATGCAATCAAATAATAAAAACATGGTGTCTTATCAGGTTATTGAATTTTTATTAAGTTTAGGGTTTTAACATGCAGTTTTAAACACTGCATGTATAATGATCCTGGATAAGAACTTCTTCGCATTGCGATTAAATAAACAGAGACCCCCATTAATGCTTCATTAACTTGCCTGGATGCAGAGGTTCAAAAATAAATTAGTGGCCAAACGAGCCAGTCAATCAAAAGTGGATTTTTTTTTTTTATTTCATTAACAAATTGAAGAGTACTTCTTAATGCCGATGAGTGTAAGACATGGAGACAATTATTTTATTCAAATTCAAAATCAGGATAAAGAGCTCCAATTTCTCCGCTACATGATGATAAACGTGAGCGTAAACTTTTGAGTGTGTGAGTTTATAAGCCAGTGAAGTCCTGCTTAAGCAGTTGGCTGGAGACGGAGGAGTTTCCAGGGCATGGGTCACTGGCTGCTCTGTAGACTGGAATTAACAGACAACAAGAAAACAATAAAGTGAACCAAATGCAAATTTTCATATCGCTAAATCCACAAGGGGCCAATGACAGGCCGGGTTCCCGGAGAAGTGCAGCCAAGCGCACCAATCAGAGAGGCTGACTGACCATTAGTCTGAAACAATCAGTCTCTTAACATGCCAATATTTTGACATCTGCATGAAGATTTACCGCAATCAGGTCACATTCGCAGGAGAGACCGAATCAAACATGCACATGTTAATTTACATGCTGACCGGATATCAACCTGAAGACCTATTTCTGCCACGTCAAACATAAATATCTGCATATGGGGTCAGTTTATGCATTACACAGAAAGTTCCGTCTGACATAATGACTAAGTGGGAGAACACAGTCTTTGTATTATCTTCCTCCTCTATGCCCTGTGTTTAAAAAACAAGGCTTCTGGACATTAATCCTTCATTTTTCACCCTTGAAGGGGATGTAAATAAGACTCTGGCTGTCAGAGCAGCCGTCAGGCCTCACAGATCTCACAGTCATTACACTCCTACACCAAGGTGCTGTAAATCCTCTGTTTTAGAGGAAAACACATGATCACTGGTGAAGGCAGCCAACCACAAATTATCAATATTCCTCCAACATATTCCGAGAATAGGTTATGTACTTTTTCTCTCTCCATTATTTAAATGCAATCAAATGAATATAAGTTAAAGATGCATTGTTTTGTTCTCCCCTCCCCTGCTCGGCTCAGCTCTCTACATGCAAAGTTAAAGTTTGGAAAGCTTAGAGAGATACTCCTACTCGTCACAGTTCATTGCTCAGATCTGTTTGTGCTTCGCAAATCCTCCGATAGAGAGAGAGGCATCTATCACTGGAGTGCTCAGTGCGTGGGGGCCTCCACAATCTCTCCTGCCATTTTAAACACATGTCTTCTCAAAGTGCCATGTACTCCAAGAATGAACCGGTTAATCTGCGACCCACTCACAGCCCGTCGTGCTCTCCAGCCAAGGCTCGGACCACCTAACAGCAGGGAAATATTTAACAGAAGACAGGACGGCGGAAGTGTCTTTCAAACTCGCAATTATGCTCTTCTGGATGGGAGCACATAAAAATGTAGCTGATAGAAGCTTCTTTTTATTTTAAATGTGTTCTTTCCAGCCTTGATAAAAATCTAGACTGAAATAAAACAAACTAAACACTCTGGTACACATAATCCCAGACTTATTTCTAAACCTTCAGCTGTTTGATTAAACATCTTTGCTGCCATAAAGAACCTGTTGGGCGCTAAGCACGACTCCTGTTCCTTCGATGAGTCTTAAATCTTCTTTAATGCACGGGCACCTGTAACCGTAAGTCATCGTACACTTTGTAGACGGCTCGGTGGAAGATTGCGTTACACCTTTACTTTCTCGGGTCAGGGGGTTAAGTACAGGGAAGGAAGTGCCGATCCACTAAGTGACCACTAACCAGAGCAATGCAGTCTCTGAAACGCATCAGCCGGGACATAAAACCGAGGGGAACATTTTTTTTATCTCCAAATTACTAACATGATAAAAAAAATCCTTCAAATGTGGAGGACGAAGAACGAGAGGAGAGGGAGGAATGACGGTACTAAACAGAACCGTTCAGATTTGTTTCAGTGTGTGTGTGTGTTTTGTTCTGTCGGAGGTTTCGCCTGAAGGGAGCGTGGTCCTTTTGGCCACGACTTAAGCAACGAGACTACAAAGGGCTGTCCACATAAAACTGTCCCACTCATTAAGGCACTTCCTCCTGTAAGCAGAGGTGACAATTTTACGGTCCCAGCACTTCAACAATCACAGACGCAAACTGTTTTAATTACTTTTATTTTATATTCTTGGGAAATGATGAATTAAATGAATGTAAACTCGCGGGCCTTTCATTAAGATTTTAACCAGGCGCGTTTTAACTGATGCTGACTTGTTTAAGAGGAACGTTATCTGTTTTCTGTCCGTTTCTCTGTGGTCACCAATCTTTTCTAACAGAGGCAATCTGTTGTCATTTCTTTAATACAGCCTCGCATAGCTAATAAGTCAGCACGGAAGCAGCTTAAAGAATAATAATAAACAAGAACGATAAACTTCTGACCGAGGACCTCGCACGAATTTACACAATTCCCACATTTCTTAGAGGAGGTATCTAAAATATTTTGCTGCTTTTAATATCTTTTGCCAGTGCAGTGGGGCTATTTAAGATTTTTTTTAAAAAAAGAAAAAGATCAGGAAAGAAAAACTGGGGAGCACACAAGCAATTTTTAAATTACAAAAAAAAAAAAAAAAAAAGGAGCACACAAGCAATTTTTAAATTACAAAAAAAAAAAAAAAAAAAGCTACTTTCTATACGTTATCTTATTATAAATGAAGCAAGCCATGCAAACTACTCAGAATGCGTAATGAATTTTATACATCATATGTCAAATGAATTAGCATGTCTAACTCAGCGAGAGGGACAGGGGAGCCTCTGCTAATTGGCAGCGAAGCTTCATGCATAATTATGGGCCAAGCGTCTTTGCTGTCGCACTGTGGCAGTAGCCAAATAACGAGGAGAAAAGAGAGGGAGAGACAGAGAGCAAGAGAGAGAGGAAGAGAAAGAGAGAGAGACGGAGAGAGGAAAGAAAAACAAAGGCCATGGAAGCTGGCCGGGAAGGGTGGGTGGTGTGGGGAGGAGGGACACTGTTCTTCACAGCAGCTCATCAGGGCAGCGACAAACCCACGACTGTCCATCAACAGCCACACACACACACACACACACACACACACACACACACACACACACACACCGACACACACACACGAGCAGCACTTACAGGAGTGCTGTTTTACACCAACAGAGAAAAGGGAAAGGCTTTGTGCTCCTTCCCCAGTTTGTTGTTTGTTAAACTGCTTAATACGTTCATTAAAAATTGATTTATTTCGTACTTTTTTCCTCGGTTTATATTAAAGTGCACGAGCCTGTCCACTGAGATTATCACCAGTGTGCTCCTTCTTTGTAATGGTAAAGTAATTACATCTGTAAAAACATTGTGTCAACATGCAATTACATGGGAATTAAATGATAATAGCCTTTGTTGGAGAGTAATTATGCGAAGAAAATGCAATTTTCCTGGGTTTGCTGTCCTCATTTATGTACGCTGTGATAGGAGAAATCCACCTATGAAATATCAAAAACTGCTAAACTTTTGGATAATTATAGGCACATCAGTAACATATTTGTGTGGGCAGATGAGAATATAAATTTGTTATTCTGGCATAGTGCAGCTTAGTGTGAAGTGTAAGAATGAATGAAATTGCTGTCTCAAAAATCTGTGTTCGCTTCTAAGATCTGCAATTTATTTTTTTTAATTTCCATCAAACTTGATAAATAAATGCAGATATTAAAAACTCAGTTCTGAGAGTAATCCATAGATAATTTGTATGAAGGGCAGAACAGACTAAACGCTGGTTTTGAACCAGTAAATACAGACAGTGGTGCTGGAACAAGTCTGTTCACACGTGTTCTCTTGATTTTGATTCAAAAACTAAAATGTGAGAGGATATGTTGGCATCTGTGAAGTGCAGGACACCTTTCAGCACATCCACTTGTTTCTGTTTTGGCATTTGTTAATTTATGGAAATTGAATATGTGGATTCTATTACAATAAAAATAACAAATATAATGATAACCAGTGTTGACGACTAAATTTAATAGGACAAAACACAGAGTATAAATTACACAGAAACAGAAAAGCACGACTGAGGGTAAATGTGTGTGTGTTACCTGAGCAGACATATGCAGACCCGGCAGCCTTGGGTGAGTCGACAGAAACCAAACCTCTGTTTGCTGTCGATGTCCGTCAGCACAAAGGTGAAATTCTGCCCCACTTGACTCTGGGAAACCCTGGGAGAGGACACGAGGGGTCAAACATAACCAAACCGCATACAGGCTTAACAATCAGGCGTGTGAAATAAGTTGCAATAAAACTATGAAA